TTGAATTATTATATTCTACCTATAGAAATGAATTGGATGATTCTTTACCTTTGGAGAGTGATTGGGATAATGTTCAAAACTTGACTAGATTTTTGAAAAGATTTGATGATGTGACATTGAAATTGTCTGGGTCATTATAGTCTACTGCAAATATGTTTTTCCCTAAAATTTGCACTATATTAAAAGAATTTTAGAATTCTTTGGCTAGTGATGAGGCAGGACTTATAAATATGGCAAAACAAATGAAAGAAAATTTTGAGAAATATTGGGGTCAATTGGATAAAATGAATATACTGTTATTTATACCTACTGTATTGGACCCTTGACATAAGTTGAGGTAGTTGAAGGTGAAGTATCATGGATTAATTTTTTGGTGAGGGTGCAGCAGATAAGTTAGTTGAAGGGGTGCTTAAAATTTAAAATTGTTGATCTCTGAGTATGAGAAAGAACAAAATGTTTGTGAAAATTTTGATATGGAACGCCAAGGTAAGAATAAGGAGTTTAATGCAAATGATGTGGAGATTGATGATTATTTTTTAGAATTGGAGAAGGAAAATAGTTTGAGTATTAAGTCAAAGTTGGATAACTACTTGAAGGACTACCCTGAGAGGTATACAATAACTTTCGATTTGTTATTATGGTGGAAAGGAAATGCAATGCGGTATCTACTCTAGCCAAGGTAGCTAGAGATGTTTTGGCTATCTAATGCTCCACCGTAGCATCTGAGTTTGCTTTTAGCACTGGTGGAAGAACCTTAGATTTATTTAGGAATTCTTTGACGCCTAAAATAGCTGAGGTCCTCATTTGTTGCCAAGATTGGTGGAGAAATCCTACATCTACTATTAGAATTGAAGAGCAAATTGAAGAGCTTGTAAAATTTGAAAAAGGTTAATTGACTTTTATTTTCTTTAAACTATTATTAAACTGAAATAAATATTAGAATTTTCAACTGATTTTATTTTTATTTGTCTTTTTTATGATTTTCAGAAATTATTCAAGATCCAAATCTTTCTCACATCCTTCTCCAATGAGCAAACTTGGATAGTTGAAGAGATATGTATAATTTTAGTTAATTTATTTTCTTTAAACTATTATTAAACTAATTTAAATATTAGAACTTGCAACTGATTTTATTTTTATTTGTCTTTTTTATGATTTTCAGAAATTATTCAAAATCCAAATCTTTCTCACATCCTTCTCCAAAGAGTAAACTTGGATAGTTGAAGAGATATTTATAATTTAGTTTGTAACATCCCTTCCCGGTCCACCCGTAAACCCGAATAAACCGAGTCGAGACGCTACAAACTGGTTGACTGCATGGTCTGACATGCTGAAGTCATAATGTATATTGAATATAATAGCATGTTGATGGTGTTTACAATAATAATGTAATTTATATTTACAAAACATGATACTAGTGTCAAAATGAAATGGGCCCAACTGAGTGCCCTGTACATGCCATAAAAACCCACTGAGTGCCCCTGACATGCCATAAAAGGGTAAAACAAAAATACACATACCGTAGAGTTAGCTACCCTGAGACTGAGTCTTCTCAAGATGAACTGCAGAGTTGTAAGCCGACTCTCTACTGTCCAAACTCAAAAACCTCGAGTTTAAATGGTAACTCGCTGAGCAAAACTCAGTGGATATCTCAGACATATAAAGAAACAATTAAAACACATACATGTATAGAAAGAACCATGTAAACACATAGGCACATATAAGCACACCACATCATGAGATTTCCATGATACCTTGATTATCTTTTTACTATTTATAAATACTGTGTAATTCATGAAATGTTTATGTCAAGATATTTGTATGGGCTCCATAGTTTATAGTGAAACCGAAGTGATAAAGAAAAACTGTATGAACTGGATGAATACTGTATGCTTGGCTGCTATGGCCCATATAATCACATCCACTCAACGGCCTGTAGCCGGAGTTCAACTTGTAATGAGGTGCAGATCTCTATCCTAATGTCGCGACAATAGCCTTATCTTACATGGTTTTTTACCTACTCAATGGAGCAATAATGTTGATTATGGTTAAATAAATATAACACAACATCATATTCATAGTTCATAAACTGTCATAATTCATAATGTATATTTGATTTCACATCATTTGCATGCTGAATGTTGTTTTGATACTGTTCTAATTGTTGTATTTGAATGTTAAATGATTGGAAAGGCAAATAATAAGTGAAGCAAAGGAATACAATTGCATTGAAAAAGAAGTCCCAAAAGTGCATGACAAACACAAGTCGCGAGCGCGTACTTCAAAGTCGCGAGCGCGGCAGAATGCAAAAATGAAGAGACAGTGAGTTTATCGGGCACAAGTAGCGGCGCGTACTTGAAAAGTCGCGAGCGCGAGAAGTGCCAAATGAGAGACAGTGAGTTTCTCAGGCTAAAATTCGCAGAGCTGCGCGATGAAGTCCGCGAGCGCGCAACATTCACAGTCGCGAGCGCGAGATGTGCAAATGAGAGACAGAGAGGTTTGCGGGCACAACAGTGCTGAGCGCCACTTAAAGTCACGAGCGCGAGATGTGCAAATGAAGAGTCAGAGAGTTTCAAGTGAATTCGCGAGCGCCGTGTTCAAATTCGCGAGCGCGAGAAGGCAATGCGAACTCGTCATGCAATTCGCGCGCCGCGCTTCCACCTGCACTGTCTGTAACTATTTTGGTCATATCGCTCAATATACACACTCGATTTGAATGATTCAAAAACCCATGTAAGTAACACATAGAGGAAACAAATAACTCTTCTATGACACTTCCTAATTCCATCAGTAAAATGGGGTCAAAATCAAGATGAAGTTACTGGTAAAATTTCCAGCAAGCCCCTGTTTCAACATAAACTCACTATTTACTTCATTTATTCCAATATTCCCCTGTTTCCCCCGTTTTCTCACCATTACCGAGTCCTCCCACTCCAACAATGAAGCAAATATGTCCTCAATAGCAACACACCACACATTTCTCATGCAAAGAAAATGAAAAATAAAAGAGATAATCAAACCTTTTTACTCCAAAAGCTTGAGTTCCTCTTTAGCTTCTATTTCTTCTACACTCTTTGAACTCCCTTCACCTATAAATAAGACTTCTTATGAATTCTAAAATAATAACACCAAATGATTCAATTATGAACTTTAAGAAGGTTTACTTACTTTGATAAAAGAGAAGTTGAAGTTAAGGCTTGACTACCATTAAAATTGAAAGTAAGGTGGAAGAGGAACGGAAGAAAATGAAGAAGATGAAGATAAAGATGAAAATGGGAAAGTGAAATGGGTATTACGGGTAGGCCATCAAAAATCAAAGGATTTTATGAAAAACTTCATAAATGGTACCTCAATTGTAAACAGGCTACAACTTAATACCCAAGCTCAATCTTTTAATGCATATCAATCCTCACCCATGTGCTTTAATCTTTTAATCCTTACACTTTGCTCTTAGTAACTCCACTTAATAACCCATTCTACCCCAACCGGGTTTGGTTCAACTCGACTCAACTCGACTACTCAACTCTATGCTAAGACTCGACTCAGCTCCATGAAATGACTCGACTCAGTAGGATGTCACAATAATATTTTAAAAAATAAAGACAAATAAATTTTTATTTAAAAATTTATTGCAAACATAATTTTATAAAATTTAATTAAATTTCTTATATTAAATTGAATTTCCGCTAATTGAATATACCGGCCAGCGTTTCAATTTTTAATTGCTTCCTTGTCAGTTTTCACCGACAATTTTATTTTTGGAACATATTAAAAATGTTTGTTTTATAAAATTATTGCGGCTGCGTGATTTCCTTGTTTCTTCGATCCAATTTTCATGTGCAAGACTCGGTGTTTGACTCGTCACTCGTTTTTCTCTTCTGTCCTTTTCAAAACAAACCGTAGCTTTGTAATACTGTCCGACATGCACTCTTCGAAAATTGTTATTTTTTCTCTCAAAGAGAATCAAAAATAGTATTCCATTTATAGTTTTTCAATAACCAAACAAAATAATCACTTCACGATAGTAACTACTGTGAAAAAAAAAAAAAAAACAAAATTCAGGTCATTACCCTTTAAAATGAATTTAGCATGTGAAATATATTTATAAATTCAATTTTTTTAATATTAAAGGAGGATATCAAAACATGTATCTATTGTCAAATCATATATGTACTTACTATTAAATTATATTTTATTGTGCAATTGAATTTTTCATTTGCTTTTATTTTCTTAGAGTATCCTTAGGATAATAATTTTAGAAGGTCATGAGAATAGATAGTTTTAGAAAGTTTAACTTGTGAAATGCATTTGAAAATACCATCCTTATAATAAAATTTAGTTTAGTTACATTTAAATCCATAGAATTAAATTTTTCATTTTTTTTATGTAAAACACAAAAATTTAGATTTATTAATCCATTTAAAAAATTTTGCAAAAGTTATTTATTTCCAAACGGATGGTCAGATCAATTCGACAATATTAACTGTTGTAGGTAGTAGCTATTAGCTGTTCTATTAATTTAGAGGGTAAAAACAATAGATACAATAGTCAAAAATTTTAATTAAATTTAAACGCTAAATGTTATAATATTTAACGATAAACGTTAAAAATTACGTTTTATAACATTGCAATTTATAAAAATAAGGTTTTGATTTTATCAAAATATTAAAATTAACAAAAGCTATTACCCAATCCCGCCTCAATATAATTTTGTAGATAGTTAAAAAATTTTGATATAAACATATACAAAAGATTTAAAGTTTATTAAGACTTAAAAAGAAAATCAGTCGAGCATATCAAGACATAATCTAACAGTAAATATTGTATATATATGATCCGCCGATGAATTTAGGTTAAATCCACTTTAATACTAAATAAGAAAAAAAAAAAAAAAGATCAGGCCCGAAAATGAGAGCGGTTGGCCGGTGGATTGTATATTTAATGGACTGACAAGTCAATGACCAATTAGAGAAAGGTCCTTCGGAGTGCGAAAATAAATGGTGGGAGAGAGAACTTATAAGGTCATTAGCCCAAATACTATAGATGTATGCACCACATATTTTTCGGCTCTCTTTAATCTGTGAAAAATATTTTTATTTTATTTCTACATGTGATGATTCCTGGAATGTAATGCCTTATCTTTCCTTAATTGTTTATAAAAGCGCAAAAACACCAACTCTATTATGCTTCAAGAAATTTTTTTTTGGTCTTTTTCCTAGGTACAAGGTTATAGTTCTTGTTCTTTCTCCAACTCTTTGGTTCTTTTTCACTTGCATTCATTTCTTTCTTCTTGATTTCTCTTTTCTCGATAGTAACTGATAATGAATGTTCATGTTTCTTAACTTTGGATGATATTGCTTTTGTTTTTTTTCTTTTTTTTTTTTAAGTAAATATATATTTCATCTTTGCTTTTGATTTTAGTATTTCTTATTTGTATGGAATTCATTTGCAAATAAAATCAATTCTATGATGGTGTATTCAGCAGGGAAGTTTGAATCTTTTTCATTGTTTAGAGCTAAACTTTGGTGGGCTTGCCTTTTGTTAGAAGAATTTTAGACATAGATAGATATATGAGCATGGATCCTAAATATCGAGGATTCTCTTATCATACATGTAATTCCATACTTGATGAGCAATTAACCTTTCAAAACCCTAATCAATACCTAAATACTGACAGTGAATTTAGATTTTTTAGCCCTTTCTCTGATCTTAGTTTCATAAGTGTTCCTTCTAATCCTCCTGATTCTGGTCAAAATGATTTGGGTGTGTACTTTGCCTCTAGTTCTGAGGTAGAGTCCTTTGAGTCTTCACCTGGGTGGAGTCCGGAGGGAGATGCTTCATCTTCTTCCTCTAGTGACAGAGATTACATTAATCCAGTTCTTAAGTACATAAGCCAAATGCTTATGGAAGAGTTCTCTCTAGTGCAGAGATTACATTAATCCAGTTCTTAAGTACATAAGCATGTTTATGGAAGAGAACAGGAAGATAAGCCCCACGCGTTCCTTATGAATTCTTGTAGCTCTACTGCCCAGAGAAGTCATTATCATGATGTTCTTTGGTGAAGCAATATCTTTTCTAATTCACCTCAGCCTAATATCACCAGAAGAACGTCCCAGATAAGCGATCATTTGGGAAAGCACCAGTAATTGTGACCCAACCAGCACTGGTGCTCGTGTCCACAATCACTGTGCTACAACCAGTTTATAATGCAGATCCTTCGGTGAGTTGCTGATGTGGAGGGTCGAATCCTGTTTCGGTCTCAAGGACTTCCTATTTCCTAATATTACATTTCAGTCCAATTCACAATTTTTTGTCAATCTCTTCACTGGTCCTGGCCTGAATTGGCAAATGGCTTCATGTGTAATTCGTCCTGTGAATGAAAACTTTGTTGCAGTTAATAAAGGCTTAGAGGAAACCCAGTTAGATTCCTTCCTAAAGATATTCAGTTAGGGTACTTGATCCAGAGAGCAACACGTTTATCAACAGAGCAAAAGGAAGAGCGCGCTCAAGTGGCTGATAGTGAACGGAGCGATAAATAGGAAACCACATGCTTCATCTGATAGTCAAGGGCTACGAAAAATCATTGAAGCGAGATTGGATCAGATTTTAGAGATCAAGGGAGAAATAGCAAGCAGTCAGCTACATATGTGGAGGAGAGTGACTTATCTGAAATGTTTGATAAGGTATTGCTTTGGCCTCCTTTGGAAGACAAAAAACAGTGCTATGTCCTTCAAGACAAGCAAGAGGTAGCAAGCCAGAACCCAAAGCCAGATGAACAATTAAAAAGATTGAATGGTGGTAAGACTCGTGCGAAAAAACAAAGCAAGAAGAAGGAAACAGTGGATTTGAGGACTCTAAACATTATCTGTGCACAAGCTGTCTCTGCAAATGATGTAAGGACTGCTAATGAGCTCCTGAAGCAGATTAGGGAGCACTCTTCTCCTTGGGGTGATGGGTCTCAGAGACTGGCTCATTATTTTGCCAATGGTCTCGAGGCTCGGTTGGCTGGCAGTGGGATTGGAATGCAAAATTTTTATACCTCTATTGCTTCAAGGAAGACGACCGCTGCTGATTTGTTGAATGCTTACAAAACCCATCTCAATGCCTGCCCATATAAGATGCTCTCAATCATCTTCGCAAACAAGATGATTTTACGTGCAGCTGAAAAGGCAACAACTCTTCATATTATAGATTTTGGCGTCTTGTATGGTTTCCAGTGGCCTATTCTTATCCAGCACCTCTCTGTGCGAGAAGGTGGCCCACCAAAGCTACGGATTACTGGGATAGAGCTGCCCCAACATGGTTTCCGACTAGCGCAAAGAATTCAGGATACAGGTCGTCGCTTAGCTAAGTATTGTGAGAGATTTAATGTTCCATTTGAGTACAGACCTATTGCTGCTCAAAACTGGGAACGTATACCAATTGAGGACCTCAAGATTAATAGAAATGAGGTTCTTGCTGTGAATTGTTTGGGACGGTTTAAGAACCTACCTGATGAGTCATTTGAAGATACCTGCCCGAGAGATGCTGTTCTTGAGTTAATTAGAAAGATAAATCCTAAAATTTTTGTCCATTTTGTTGTTAATGGAACTTACAATACTCCATTCTTTGTTACAAGATTCCGGGAGGCACTTTTCCATTTCTCATCTCAGTTTGATATGTTTGATTGTACTATACCTCGTGAGAACCAAGAGAGGATTTTGTTTGAGAGGGAGTTTTTTGGGCGAGAGGCCATGAATGTTGTAGCATGTGAAGGCAATGAAAGGGTTGAGAGGCCTGAAAGTTACAAGCAATGGCACTCTCGGAGTTTAAGGGCAGGGTTAAAGCCACTCCCATTAGACCAGGAGGTTATAGAAACGTGCAGGGAGAAAATGAAGAAATGGTACCACAAGGATTTCGTACTCGATGAAGACAGCAATTGGATGCTTCAGGGATGGAAGGGTCGAATTATCAATGCCTCCTCCTGTTGGGTACCTGCATAAGAGTTTTCTGAGTGGCATTTTAGTTGGAGTTTGGCTTGGAAAATCATTTCTTCCGGAACTGAGTAGGCACAAATAACTATAAATTAATACAAAGATATAAATTCATTTCAAGTAATCTTTTTTGTTTCCTCTTGTCTCTTTTGCAATGAAACATTTTATTATATGAACAATTAATTTTATGCTCATAACTTATGCTTTACTGGTAAATTTTTTAGATGCTCTGAATCTGAAACTACCTGTGGAGAATTCTCATATTTATGAATTCTGAAATGTTAGTTTCTTATCATTTGATGGTTGAATTCTCATATTTATGAATTCTCTTTTGGGACTTTTCTCTCTTTTTATATCAAAAAAAATATCACTAAACTAATTAAAAAAAGTCTCAATAAACAAATCCCAAATTAGATATTATCATATCTAAAGAAAAAGTTTCGGATGCTAATGAGAAAATTAAAAAAAAATTTAAATATATTTGACTGATATTTAATTACAAATATAATTACAAACACATAACTTTCAAATTAATCAATTTTCTTCTAATTAAGAAGCAGCCATGAATACAGACTTACTGATTTGTCATTAACCCAAATTTTGTCATTGACCTAATTAATTATAGCCGTCCAAGTGCTAATGAAAGTCTAGATTAGGTTGCATCTTCCAAAATGAGGAGAAGGAAAGGAAAATAAAAATAACTTAAGTAAAAAACAAAAATTGTTATATATATATATGATTGAAACTGATTTATTCAACAATTGGTTCAAACTTTGATTCGATTCAAAAATCATCACTAGCCGCGTTAGTTCCAAATCCATAAGGTATTCACAAATTTTAAATGCAAGATACCTATGATTAAACTCATTAATATAGCGGGTAGCAGATGATGGATATCTAAATATTTATATTTTTACCCGGTTCATTTTCATTGCCGATAATAATTTTTAATTATTTATACTTTTATTAAACGGATGAGAGTGAATCAAATATGCTAAAATAATCTCTTTATTAAAGTTATTATGTATTGACATTAGTTAGAGGAGGAAAGTTCCATTATTAAATGAAATGAATCTACCCAAGTGTTTAGATAATTATAGTGTGACTTAACTAATATAATATTGCTTTAATATTATTCTATTGGGAATATTGAATGGACTTTTTATTTATTCTAATAAATATAATAATATTCTAATGCATAATAATTTATAATTATATATATACTTGAAATGGACTGTTAGGGATCCAGATACATTGTCTGATGAACACAATCATTCAGGCTGATTTTCTCATTAGGAGGCTATTAAAAAATGATTATTAGATGCTGCTGAGTCTATGGCTCTTTAATAATGGATTACTTTATAAAGGTAATCCGGTGATTAGTTTATTATATAAATAAAAATATTAAATAAATTTTTAAAATAATATTTAAGAAAACTTTTAATTTTTGAATATCTATAAATAAATAATCATAAATAGCATATCTTTTTCTTTCTTTCTTTTCAACTCTAATTTTCGAACCCTAATTTTAGTTTAAAGCTGTGTTGTTCATCGCAAAATAGTGATCATGGAAAATATGGCTTATCACTCCACCAATTTATCCAATGACTACAGTACTATCAGCATTACGATTAACAATTTTAACCATTTCACAAACGTTAATTTCTTTTCCACCCTCAAAATAAAAAAAAAAAAATTATAATCATCACTTCATTTAATAGATAAAAATCAAAGATTCGAAATCTTCATTTAATAAGTGAAAATATTGAATTTTTTTTTTATTCGTTAAAAGACCGAAAAACTGAAAGAATATTATAAACTAGAAAATAGAGTTGAGAGAGATCTCCAAATTGAAATCTTCAACTATATCTAATTGAGATTCAAAAAATTGTTAAATGAGGTTTGTGGGTGAAAACTTATTAGTCAAAAAGTTAGTCCAAGTTTGATGTTTAAGGATGAAAACGGTTCATTTTGGTTGTCCCTTTCGTGATATTAGTAAGCGGATGGTTCATTTTGCTTTTAGTGTCAGTTATGTGGTCTGTGGGTTAACTTGATACCGGCTGCTTCGATTTCAGACAAATTTCATATTGACCACCCGTGTGAATGGGGGACCTTGAATGAGACTTCTTTTTGCATAATTTTGACCAGTAAAACAACCTAATCATCAAGTTAAAATTCGATTCTCATATTAGAACTTAAGAGATTTCTACCTGAGGTATTGAAGTTGAAATACTAGATAGAATAATACAAATTTATAAAAATCAAAAATTACAGGAACAATGAAAAAATACAAAAGAAAAAAAGAGAGAAGAAATATCTTTATCGTATACTAAATTATATAAATTAACTTTTGATAAAACGCTATTATAAATTTTAAAAATTAATTTAAACGCTATATTACTAAATAAATTATTAAGTAGCTATTTAGTTAAAATCTATAAGTTACTTAAAATACCCAACACAGCCAACAAGTTTCCATGAAGCTTAGGTTTTCAACTTCCAGTAATATTTCTCAATTAGCTACCGTCAGCTACTGTTTTCTCTGAGCATTTTCTTGATTATTTTTTTTCCCTTCGTTGTAATATTTTGCTTTCAGTTTCTTGAAATTTACCTTTTCTTAATCTTATCACTTCATTTTTCCATTTTCTTTCTTGTCCTAATTTGTTTAAGTTTGCCACTTATCAATGACTGGAGGGGAATTGGGTTTCAAATCATTTCCTGTTATTTCAAATCCTAATCTGGAATCCATGAATCCTTCTCTTAATACTCCGATTTCCAATTTTCCATCTTTGGATTTGACACAATCACCAGATGTGGATAAGTCTCTATACAGTAGTGAAGCCGGTGATTTCTCTCAAGCTGTGTTAAAATACATAAATGACATTCTAATGGAAGAAGACTTACAGGACAAACCATGTATGCTGCAAGATAGTTTAGCTCTTCAAGCAGCAGAAAAGTCCTTGTATGATGTTCTTGGCCAAAAAAATCTGCATTTTGATGAGAAATCTGCTCCAACTGATATTATTTCTGATCAAGTGGAGCTGGAGTCCTTTCCTAACAGCTATTCTGCAGATTTCGCCAATCTGTCGAATTCTGCAGCAGAAAATGGCAGAATATATTGCCGTGTCGAAGAAGAAGGAAGAAGAAAGAAGCAATATTCGATCTCTACCGGAGAATCTGAGCAGCTGGAGATATTCGACAATTCATTTCTGCATAAAGTTGAAAGAAATGAGTCTCTTCCATGTCCTTTATATGATTCATCGAAAAACGAAGAAAGCAAGAAATTGCAGCAAAATGAGCATTCACAAGCACCAAATTCGCGAATAAGGAGACAGACCAATAAAGAGACTATGGATTTGTCGACTCACTTAATTCTTTGTGCACAAGCAGCAGGAAATGGTGATCAAAAGATTGCATATGAGCAATTAAAGCTGATAAGGCAAAATGATTCGCCTTTCGGTCATGGAAACCAAAGATCAGCTCATTATTTTGCTAATGCTCTTGAGGCACGTTTAACAGGCATTAAACAAGAAATTGGACACCCAACAAACGCTGCTGAAGTTCTAAAAGCTTATCAGCTTTATGTTTCAATATGTCCTTTTAGGCAAATGTCGAATTTTTATACTAACAGAACAATTGCCAAAGTAGTAGACAAGGCAAGTAGTGTCCATATTATTGATTTTGGGATTTCTTATGGTTTTCAATGGCCCTGCTTCATTTATCGTCTATCGACCAGGCCTGGAGGGCCTCCCAGAATCCGCATCACAGGAATTGATTTTCCCCAGCCAGGTTTTAGGCCTGCAGAAAGAGTGGAAGAGACGGGAAGACGGTTAAAGAGATTAGCTGATAGACTGAATGTTCCTTTCGAATATCAGGCAATAGCACAAAAATGGGAAAGTATCAATTACCATGATCTTAACATCGGTAAAGAAGAAATTGTAGCTGTTTGTTGTATGTATAGGTTGAAGAACTTACCGGATGATACAATTTCAGTGAGTAAAAGTTCAAGAGATGCAGTTCTTGAATTGATCAAGAAAATAAATCCCAACATATTTGTTCATGGAGTTCTTAATGGGTCTTTTAATGCACCTTTTTTTACGACAAGGTTTCGCGAAGCATTCTTTCATTTCTCTGCATTTTTCGACATGTTTGAGGCCAATGCGACCCGCGAAGATCCACAAAGGTTAGTGTTTGAGAGAGAAATGATTGGAAAAGATGTTCTGAATGTGATTGCTTGTGAAGGTATAGAAAGATTTGAAAGGCCTGAGACTTACAAGCAATGGCAAATTAGGAACTTGAGGATGGGATTTGAGCAGTTACAATTACATCAAGATTTAATGAAAAGAGTAAGGAATATTAAGAATAATTATCATAAAGATTTTGTGGTTGATGAAGATGGAGATTGGTTCCTTATGGGATGGAGAGGAAGAATAATTCATGCTATTTCTGCTTGGAAAGCTAGTCAAGTTTAAAACACATGTATATGTTGCACGGAAATGGAAACGGAAACGAATAAACTTGGAATGTGGAAACGATGTCTAAAATATAATTTTACACAAAGAAAATGTATTTTATATGGAAAACCGACATATGGAAATGTTCCCGAAACGCGAAAATGCCTATGGCAAGAAGTTTCTATGCATCATAACATGTATCAAAGTCTAATTATAATTATGAAAAAATATTGAGTAATTAATTAATTAATTATGTTCTTCAACACCTGCAGACTTATATTTTTAAGATTTTATCCTTTGAATTGCTGAACAACTCCAAAGCTGTTTCTATTGAACTCACCGTTTAATATTTACATGTACACATGACTTTGCTAAGCCAAGTCCCAGTTGAGATCTTGATCTGGCATAAAATTTCAGGCCCAGCTTAGGAAAAAATTTTGATATTAATTAGAAAAATATAAGAAAACTTCTTTTTACTTAGCATTTAAGAAAACTTAAACAATATATAAATCATCTAAAGACTATTCATTAAGTGCTTTTATTCAAATTTATTTATTAACTAATAATCCAGTCAGAAAAATATGGATTTAAATAAAAATATATAATCCCTTATATTTTTTAACCTACTGTTAGCTTAACTTCCAGTAAATTCCGATTGAAAATAAAATACTTGATGTTAATCACACAACGACAACACGTGTGCTTTACGCGTGCTCTCATGCGACTATATACGTGACGGCGTAAGTGCGCGTGTTTAACTTTGTACGCCGAGGCTTACCAGAAAGGACCAGAAATAGAAATTAGAATTTTGTTTTTAAAAATTAGAAATTACAAATACTCAATAGGAGCACTTCAAACTCACTAAATTAATAAAATTACATCGAATAAAGAGGACTCAAACTTGAGGTCTTCCACCGTCACATAATTGAGAAGATCAACTACACTATATATACACTAAGTCAATATTTAATTACCATCTAAAAACCATAATATTTTTCTTTCCAATCTCAATATTTAAACGGGTGGTTGGGTCAAAATTCGACGGACCCATATTTCAAATAAGAAAGAATGATTGGTCTAAACTGAGCCGTTTAAAAGTTCAGGCCTACACCAATGATCCTTATAAAAATTGAGTTGGGTTATTCGGATCCATTTAACTCGATTTTCAATTAAATATTTTTTTAATGGGTAGGATATTTTTTTATATGTCTTGCACAATCAAAATTTTTATTTGGATAATAACAATTAAAAGAATTGTCTAGAAACATAATTGTTGCTCAAACAACCATAATCAAAAAATCATAAAATAACAATCAAACCATAATCAACGTCAAACATTCATAATGAAAAAATCATAACACAATCAAACTATAATAATCACAATCACACAAATCATAATTTTCCATCTTCAAATCATAACCAAACCATAGCAAATTAAAAGTCCTAATTAAATATTTAACATAGATAATTGAAATAAAAAAAATGAAAACTTAAACTAATTAATTATAATTTTAGTTGCTTAAGAAAAAATACATATCATCTTAAAGAAAAAATTGATTTTGATTTGGGATTTTTAATTTTACAAGCAAAAGAAGAAAGAAAAAAGAATGAGTGATGCAGAACCCCAAGAATAGCGTCTTAACATTCCAAATCAGATTTGATATAAAAACCCTAAATCCCAAATTAGGAATCATAATTCCCGAATTAGGGATTTTATTCTTGGAATTGTAGATCTTGACACAATACTCAACTAGAAGTATGAACCAAAGATATCAAAGTGAAAGAATGAACACCATAAAGATTAATTATATTTGATAAGTTCGAAAACAAGTTCAATGAAGAATCTAAGAGAATTCGTCTCTCTTGAAATAAAACGTATTAACTGAAATCTTTCAATAATCTCTATTTGCAATACCGAAAACTATGTATTTATAAGCTAAAAAATTCTAAAAATTAAATAAAACATAAAGTCTAATTTAAATAGGCCGAATTACGCTAATTAAATTATAAATTTAATTAAAAGATTCAAAGCCCAAATGTTTGGATCATGTTACTTAGCTTTGGATCTTCTTTTGGGTCCATCTCTTCATGATCACCATAAGTTCATTGTTTTTCCATCATTCGACACGCATCAGTGAGTCACATGAAGAAATAAAAAAAATTGATATTTTTATTTTTTCGTGTTGGCTATGATTAAACAAGGTATTTAATCGATCCACCCAAACCGAATAAGAGATTTACATTCCTCAAATTGTCTGACATGACCTGACTTGAAAAAAAAATTAAAAATTATTTGTGTTAGTTAGGCTAGAACTTTGGTCATCAAGAAAATATGAAGTGCCTTCAACACGTTGCGCCCCTTTAATTTCCATGTTTGATTTTTGCTCCTATAAATTTAAATTCTAGCTTTAACTCTGCTCTTGTTGATACTAAATGATTTACAAACATATAAAAGTCATTCAATCAAATATATAAATTCATCTGTGAACTCTGCAATTTTAAAATAACATGGTTTCGGTCCAACTTTCTTTATAATTAAAATGTAGGATTCTAAAATCAAAACCAGAAAGTTATAGAGCCATCAGCCATGATTGTGCTTACTAATGAGAAGGAAAGGTTGGAATTTCGGGTCAACCAGAAAAGTCTGCAATGATCTTTTGTCTTTTGAAAAGATAGCCGGATTGAGACTCCTGTCAAATGAAACAAGGACACGTCACTTTCATTTATATATACTTTTTTTAAAAAAAGAAAAGAAAAAGAAACAAAGGTCTAGATAAAGTGCATGAACTTAGTGGCAATGCCATACAATTATTTTGTCTTCTTACAATTATTATTATTCATATATTCGACAAATATTAATTTCTTCCAAGGATTAATGATGTGTTTGGGAAGATGGATTTTTTTTTTTTGGAAGGAAAGAAAATTATGACGGAAAATAACGAGAGAAAGCTAAATTCTCTTGTTTGAAAATGAGGTAAAAAATTCTATCGGTAGAAAATATTATATGTTTTTCTTTGGATCCCATATAATTTGAATCACATCCACAATTTACGTGATATGTAAAAAGTGGACTGCTGGCTTTTTCATGTCGGATTAATCGTATTCTGATTTAACTTATTGAAATCGGACTGCTGGCTTTTTCATGTCGGATTAATCGTATTCTGATTTAACTTATTGAAATCCAATTTACGTGATATGGTAAAAAAGTGGACTGCTGCGCTTTTCATGTTCGGATTAATCGTATTCTGATTTTTAAACTTATTGGAAATCGGGACTGCTGGCTTTTTTCATGTCGGATTAATCGCTATTTCTGATTTAATTACTTGAAAAATCTTGATGATTATCTACATTTATAATCGTATTCTGATTTAACTTATTGAAATCGGACTGCTGGCTTTTTCATGTCGGATTAATCGTATTCTGATTTAACTTATTGAAATCGGACTGCTGGCTTTTTCATGTCGGATTAATCGTATTCTGATTTAACTTATTGAAATCGGACTGCTGGCTTTTTCATGTCGGATTAATCGTATTCTGATTTAACTTATTGAAATCTTGATGATATCTACATGTTATTGCGCAGCAGATGAAAATTTACGAAAAATGCAGTTGAAAATATTTAATAATTAAACACATTAATTATTATTAATGGACCGAAGTTAAAACACTAATCATTGCGTACCCATAACCATTTCCGTTCATTAATTCCAACAATAACTAAGAAAAAGAAAATATTATTGTTCCTTTGCTTCCTTCCCTTATTTTCTTTTCCAGATTTTGATTATTTTGATTTTTTTTTTTAAATTAGGATGTGTAATCCCTTTTTAAATCATAAAGTGTAAAATATTTTATCATTCTAATAAGTGTACTGTCCAAAAATCGAATTTATATTTTTAACTTTACACGAATTGAGACCGATCAAAAACCCATATATAATATATATGGAAACTTTTACCTAGTAATTTTATTTTTCACTTTGGTTTATTTACCCTACTTAGTAAGAATGATATTTTAAAAAATTTTGAAAAAAAAATAAAAAAGAAGACGCATCTCCATATGCATATGATTGCTCCTTTAGTTTTCCTCATGCAAAGCATGTATCAATAATTTTGTTTTTAAAACAAAATGCTATATTCATATTTTTCTTCATTTGGATCGAAATATATATGTTCATACTCGTTAGGTCAATTAGTTGATGCTGAGACCCCTATTTTCATCATAGTATAAGAAATTCAAACACGTAGTTCGAAATATTAAATTAATATCATAAATTTAAATATTTAAGAAAATATTTTCTCCATTATAATTATTTAAGGTTCATTCGGTACACACCAGGTGATGGTGGTTGCTAATTACTAGTGATGACATTGTTTGGTAAAATTTTAATTGTGATTACTGTTAAAATATAAAATGACAGTTAAGAGAATACTTATTTTTATATATTATAATGTATAATATACATATATATTTTTTTAACTTTTAAAATCAATATATTATATAAATCAAAATATTTAATCAAATTTTAAAATAGTATTTAATAGAGGATTATTATTTGTTAAAATAACTATAACTAAGTGATTATAAAAAAATATTAATTTTTTAAAAAATAATTTTACTATCAATTATTTTATAAAGTAATAAAATCCAAATATAATATAAATATGAATTGGCTAATAACTAATACGAAAACATTTAAGTAATGAAATTTATTATTAATCCATTGCGGATTGAAATTTCTATAAGCTATGGCCTACCACAGCTAAGATGGAATGAGCTATAAGCTGTCAATTGAACCAAAAATGTCCCAAATGCCCCCTTAGTATTGTATTAGCAGTAACTAGCACATTTTAAAACAAAAATTAGAAAAATATTTTCTTTTAAATCATATTTAGTTAATTATTAGTTGTTTAAGACCCTATAAGTTTACAATTTTTTTCATCATTTTACTCTAAAATTTGTTACAGTAATAATAATATCAAATTAACTTTAAAAAATTATTTTAAGAATTAACAAAAATTAGTCTAGTTGGTAAAAATGAAATATTTCCTCTTTCGATAATTAAACTAATATAAAAATAGATATTTTTCAAATCGAATGAAAATTAAATTAAATTTCATAATATGTAAGTCATTTATTACTATAAACACAATCAAAAACAACTAATAATAATTTAGATAATTATCTCTAAAAAAAATTAGATAATTATCCTTCAAACAATTTACTCATGTAGGTGTAATAAAATAAAAAGTAAAAAACAAATAAGTTGATGAATTGGGACAGGATTAAGGAACGTGTACATGGAACCAAACCCATAATTCTTGTGTTCATACCTCAACTTCTAGTCAATGACTTGGGGATCAAGATTTAAGATATAGAGAAAAGGAAACAAAAATTCTCTTTATGTCAAAATAATCATAATAAAATATTATTAATCTAGGACGTTTTAAATTAATTAATTATTTTGTATTTCAATTAAAAATTAATAAAACATTTTTTATTTAAAAATATAATTAAAAATTAAAGTCCAAGGTCAACACTAATAGCCTTGGCATGGGACCTTTTAAAAGCTAACCAACACTGATAAGTGTCCGAAAGGCCAATATATTACATAGGCTGGCGGCTGAGTTTTTCGATCTTTGCCATACTTTCCTAGAAACTTCCTTCCTCTTGATATTGTTTCCCTTCTCCGTTTCCTTTAAATAAGAGTGTGCTTCTCTCTCATGCCTTCGTGCTCTCTTCAAAGCTTTTGGCTCACTACTGGGCTACACTGCAATTTTCTCTTCTTGTCTTGTTACAATCTTTCTTTCTGGTTTTTTTTGTGATTGTTAGTTCTTTTTATATATTTGGTGTTTAATTTTTGTTTCTTGATTCTGGGATTTTCTTTTCCCACTTGCTTAATTGGTTTTTCTGGGTGTTCTTTTTGTTTCTTGAAGATTTATTGACCTAAAGAAATACCCAACTGTTTCTGCTCGAGGTCAAGATTTATTTTTTTTATGGTGTTTTCTTTATAATTCTATTGTATATTTATATTTATAATCTTTCTTCCAGATTCTGGATTATCCCCACTTTTTCAATTGATTTATTGTGTTCTTTATCCTTCCTTGCACATCTATTCAACTGAGAAATTATACCCAATTGTTTCTTTGTTTCTTTATTTATTTATTTATTTATATATTTTAAATATAGAGTAAACCTCAGCCATAAGTTTCCTATCTTGTAAGTTGTACTAAATTTCTATTTCCACAAATTTCTTTAGAACCAGAAGGAAAATTGTAGTTGTCCATGGATACCCTTCTTCAAGAATTCCCTAATTCCATGAACAGATTCAAATTTGACCATTTCCCAGATTCTTTCTCTTCAAATAGGAATTTTCTTAATGGTTATGAGCTGAATCATAATTTGAGTAACCCTAAGTCCTCTTTTCATTCATGTAGTCCTGAACCTCCTAATGACTTGATACCATCCTCTTCTTCTTCTTCTTCATCACCATCATCCTCATCCTCCTTGAGCTTAGAAGGAAATGATCCAAATAATAATGCTGTTCTCAAGTACATAAGTGACATGCTTATGGAAGAGGACTTAGAGGGTAAGACTTGTATGTTACAAGACAGTTTGGCCCTGCAAGCTGCAGAGAAATCCTTATATGATGTCCTTGGTCAAGAATACCCTCATTCCTTAACTCAAAATCTTGAAAACCCTAAAAAATTTTGTAACTCTGTTAACACCTCTGTTGAAGAATCAAATTTGATTCTTTATCAAGTTGATTCAGATTTTTATGGAATTCAAAGTTCTTTTATTGATTCCCCTGCAAGTACCCTTATAGGACCAGATTTCCAAAGTGAGATACACAAAGGGATTATTGGAAATGGTGATTCTTTGGTATTGGTTCCAAATAGTAACTCAGACAAAGAGGAAAGGGATTGGTCACCTAATAGTTCGCGAGGAAGGAAAAATCACCAACGAGAAGATAGTGATCATTTAGAAGACGAAAGGAGCAATAAACATTCTGCACTCTCTCTTGCAGAGTCTGAACAGTCAGAAATGTTTGATAAAGTATTGCTTTGTCCAGTTGGAAATACTGGGTCTGAAAGATGTTGTCTTGATGAGAAGTCACAGAATGGAGTAGGCAAGAAAGGGCAGGGGAAAGGACCTAATGGTAGAACGGCAAGAGGAAGGAGACATGGAAACAAAGAAGAAGTGGTGGATTTGTCTACTTTATTAACTCAATGTGCACAATCTGTGGCAATTAGTGACCAAAAAACTGCATATGAGTTACTTAGGCAAATTGGGCAACATTCTTCACCTTTTGGAGATGGAAACCAAAGATTGGCTTATTACTTTGCCAGAGCCCTCGAAACACGCTTGGCTGGGGCTAGTACACCAAAATATTCACCACTTATAAGTAATAAGACTTCAGTTTCTGATATCTTAAAAGCTTATCAGGTATATGTTAAGGCATGTCCATTCAAGAGAATGTCAAATTTCTTTGCTAATCAGACAATTTCAAAAGTGGCAGAGAAAGCAACTAGCCTGCATATTATTGATTTTGGCGTTCTTTATGGTTTCCAATGGCCTTGTCTTATCCAACGTCTCTCAGAAAGGCCTGGTGGACCTCCAATGTTGCGGATTACAGGAATTGAGCTTCCTCAACCTGGTTTTCGCCCTGCTGAGAGGGTTGAGGAGACAGGCAGACGATTGCAAAGATATTGTGAAAGGTTTAACGTGCCATTTAAGTATAATTGCATAGCACAGAAATGGGAAACCATCAAATATGAGGATCTTAACATTGACAGAGATGAAATGACTATTGTTAACTGTTTGTATCGGTTAAGGAATCTCCCTGATGATATAGTTGTAGCGAACAGTGCGAGAGATGCTGTCCTAAAGCTGATAAGGCAAATCAGACCAGACATGTTTATTCATGGGGTTGTTAATGGTACCTACAACGCTCCATTCTTTGTCACTCGATTCAGGGAGACGCTTTTCCACTATTCTTCACTGTTTGACATGTTTGAGGTTACTGTTCCTCGCGAAGATGAGCAGAGAATGTTGTATGAGAGAGGAATATTTGGAAGAGATATTATGAATGTGATAGCATGTGAGGGAACAGAAAGGGTTGAAAGACCAGAGACATACAAGCAATGGCAAGTTCGAAATATGAGAGCTGGGTTCAGGCAGCTTGCATTAGATCAGGAGATTTTGAAGAAGGTGAGATCAACTGTGAGATCAGAGTATCATAAAGATTTTGTTGTCGATGAGGATGGCCGGTGGATGCTACAGGGATGGAAAGGAAGAGTCATCCATGCTCTTTCAATTTGGAAACCAGTCCAGACCTAAACTAAAACTGTGATTGTATTACAACTACTATGTTACTTAGGATTTTTGATTTATGACTTCCTGCTATAAGTTTTGTGATCTTGCATGTAAATACATTGATATTTAATGAAAATATGTTTGTTCTTTTGAGATCATCATCCCCAGCAGTGCTCAATGAAAATAGAGTACTTAATGAATAAATAAAAATGAAAACTTTTAGAAGTTTACAGAAAGAAAGATAGCATGTTGTAGAAGCAAAAACCAGGAGTTTCTTGAATAGCTTCACAGCTTCTAGTTAAGAACTTTTCTTGAATTTAATAAATTGATTTGTGTCTGCTTGGAACTCCAAAAGGAGGTCATCTAAAATAAAAAGAACTCATCGGAGAAAATTGTCCCTGTAGGTGCAGCTAGAACATGCACTCTTTCCAAGGTTTCACTGTACTAAAATATTACCAAACGTACAGTAATTTAAGTTAAAAGAAGGATACAAATTAACTTCTTTGTCTTGAACTTGTGAGACAATTTGTAGTGATTTTAGGAATTAAATTACAATGTAAGTGGTAGAGGGTGATAAAATAAAACCAATAGCATCCACAAATTCAACATCACAGAATGAAACTTCTACAGTAACCTTTTACATACAATAGAAAAATTTTTTGATTGGTTTATTATATAGATGAGTCAACAGGCTGGGAGTTGATAAGTCTTTATCTTTTATTTAATAGTTTTAATTTCCATTAGTCAGTTCTGAGATGCACGTGCAGTGCGCCAGCCGCATGTGAGAGAGAGAAAAGCAGAGGAGAAAAGGGTAACTTTATATTTCTTGCCTCCTAAGCTTTAAACAAAAGAATGGGAAAAAAAAAAAAACAAAAGAAAGAGTCTGTCTACTTTTACATTAGAAGTAGCTAGACCATAGAATACATTATATTTAAAGAATGGACCAGGACATTATGATAGGAAGTTAGGGGGTTGTTTGGCTGGATGTAAAATAAAGAGTGGATGTAAACTCTCTTTATTTTCCTTCCTTCCATTTACTCTCTAAAATACGAGAAAAATAAATACAACAAAGACGCAAATAAATAAAATATATTTATTTTACTCCCACCTTTTATTTTCCCTTCAAACCAAACAAAAAATATAAAATATGAAGGTAAAATGAATAGTATCATTTTACTCTCTTATTTTGCATCAAACAAAGCATTAGTTCCCAAAACACCCTCATATGCACCCACATCTACACATGTTAGTGACCAGTGGATCCAGATTCTTCAAATTTTTATTTTCTCAATAAATATAATATGGTTTTGCATTTTTTTTATTGTAACATTTCTCAACTCCTACTGGCTACAACTGACAGAATTTCTCATCTCCTATTGGCTACAATTAACAGAAGCAGCACTAATGTCCTAAATGTATGGTTGAAGCTTGATAGCACCTTGTTCTTAATGAGATTGAGTAGGCTTCTGGCTTTTCCTGCTCAGTCTAGACAAGAAGGTTCTTCTTTTCAATTTCTTGGAAGTAAAACACCAAAATCTGCTACTGAAGAGAGAGAGGGAGAGAGAGAGTGATAGCTTCTTGGTGAATAATTAGGTAAGATTTTATCTTTCTTTCCCCTTTTTTTGAGTTTCTTTAAATACTTGCAAGCCACAAGTTTCAGTGTTTTTTTTTTTTAGTTTATATCTTGCAAAGGAATTAGGGTTTCAGATTCTTGAAAGTCAAAAGTTTTAGTCTTTATGGATGATCCTCTAATCGAAGCAACTCCAGTTGCCGTGACTGGATTCAGATTTGGTGCACACACTATAAGTAGTGAATCTGCTTCATCTTCCGAAGATTCTGCAGATAACAATGATTTCTCTAATGCTGTTCTTAAGTACATAAGTGATATACTCATGGAAGAAGAATTAGACAGTAAAAATTGTATATTGCAGGACTGTTTAGCCCTGCAAGCTGCAGAAAAATCCTTGTATGATGTTCTTGGTCAGAAATATCCTCCTTGGTCGGATCAAAACACTCGAACTGATTCCATCAACTTGGTTGAATCAAGTTGGATGTTCGATCAAACTGAATTTGAATTCTCTCATACTCTAAATCATCCTGGCCACTGTCTTGAAAAGATTCTCCAGGTACCAGATTTATATAGTGAATCATTTCAAATTAGTACTAGTTCTTTGATTCTATCAGAATCTGAAGAGAAAGATTGTTTCTTCTTGAATGGTTTGAGGGAGAGGAAACATCATGACCGCGAAGCAAACGGCTATTCTGAAGGGAGAAGCAACAAGCACTCTGCATATTCTTTTGAAAAGCAAGAGGAAACAGAAATATTCGATGAGGTGTTGCTCAATGATTCTCCATCTGTTTGTAATTCAACACAGAATGGAAGTGATACAAAGATGAAAAATGGTAAGCACACAAAAGGGTCTAATGGTCGAAAAGGTCGGTCAAAGAAAAATAGCAGTAAAAAAGAAATAGTAGATTTATGGACTCTCCTACCTCAGTGTGCACAAGCAGTTGCCAGTGATGATCAAAGAACTGCAAAAGATCTACTGAGGCAAATAAGGCAGTATTCTTCTCCATTTGGTGATGGAAATCAAAGATTAGCACATTTTTTCGCCAACGGGTTAGAAGCAAGGTTAGCCGGCATTGGAACACCTGGATATACACCAGCAGTAAATAGTACAACAGGAGCTGCTGATATGCTAAAAGCTTATCATATCTATATCTCAACATGCCCTTTTCAAACAATGTCACATCTTTATGCAAATCAAACTATAATGAAACTAGCAGAAAAAGTAACAAGGCTACATATAATTGATTTTGGCATTCTTTATGGATTTCAGTGGCCTTGCCTTATTGAGCATCTGTCAACAAGAACTGGCGGACCCCCGAAATTGTGTATTACAGGAATTGAGTTTCCTCAACCTGGTTTTAGGCCTGCAGACAGAGTCGAAGAAACAGGCCGGCGATTAAGAAAATATTGTGAGAGATTTCATGTCCCATTTGAATACCATGCCATAGCACAAAAATGGGAAAGTATTCAATATGAAGATTTCAAGATTGATAGAGAAGAACTGATTGTTGTTAACTGTTTGTATCGGTTAAAGAATCTTCCTGATGATACAATGGTAGTCAAAAGTGTTAGAGATAAAGTTCTAAACCTGATGAGACAGATTAATCCTCATATTTTCATTCATGGAGTTGTTAATGGTACTTATAATGCACCTTTCTTTCTTACTCGTTTTCGAGATGCATTGTTTCATTTCTCAGCAATGTTTGATTTGCTTGATGCTACAATTCCTCGCGAAGAACCTGAAAGACGCATGTTTGAGGAAGAGATATTTGGAAGGTATGCAATGAATGTGATTGCTTGTGAAGGTGGGGAGAGAGTTGAAAGGCCAGAAACATATAGACAATGGCAAGTTAGAAATGGAAGGGCTGGATTTAGGCCGCTCCCACTAGATAAGGAGATTATGAAAAAAGTTATAAGTACAGTCAGATCAAATTACAATAGCAACTTTGTTGTTGATGAAGATAGTCACTGGATGCTGCAAGGATGGAAGGGTAGAATAATTTATGCACTTTCTGTTTGGAAACCTGCATATGATTGAATTTTCTTTATTGCAAATCCACTAGTCTTGTAATTTTCTGGATTTGTATTCCTTCAAGAGTGGATTCTCTTTAGGACTTCAACTTTCTTTTTCCGAGGGTAATTAGTTGTTAACTGTTAGTTGCTTTAATAGCGTTTAATTATTTTAGTAGCTAGTAGCTATTTGAATAGCTTTTTATAAACCGCTAAAAAGTAAAATGTATGTCATAGGAGTTAACTTTTTATCAGACCTACCTTACCTTTTAAGAGCTAGTTCAAACACTACGTTATTAAATACTATAAAAAATAGTATTTAGCATTTGCTAAAAGCTACTTTAAAAAGTCATGGTTGAATCATATTCAAATCCTCTAACATTTGGTTAAGCTCTATAATTTAATTTCATTTTGGTAATATATGAAAAAATTCTAAAAGGAAAATAACTGTCAGGATTGAACCCCTCGCCATTTACACAAAAAAATATCTTCTCGTCTAACGCAATTTTTGGCTATCTATTTTGCACTATCATTCATTCAATCACAACCTAAGTACTAGTGATTTGTTTATTTTACAAAATTTAATGGCGGAACTACCATTGACTAGAATACCACCTGAACAACCAAATTCAAATCTCCAAAATTAAGATGTGACAAATGGAATTTCTCCATTGGCTCCTAACATACCTAACATTACCAATATTAACTACTTTCTTAAAAAATAAAAAAATAAAAACAATCAAACTGCTTTTGCCTCTATTTGAGGAACTGTAGCAGAAGGTTTCAGTTCCCAAACCAAATCATCACTTTAAGATGGGATTGTTGCTTTTCATAAACAAAAAATGGTGTGGGACTCACAAGTTAACAACAAAAGGAGGGTGCATCTATTGCTCTAATGATGCTTTCTACCTTGTTTCTGTTGAGAAATTATTAGCCGGTGGCTGGTGCCATCTTTTAAGGATTCCTTTTCTAATTAGAATATTATATATCTGGAAGATATGGTTTCTAGATGCAAATGCATTAGATTGGATTCACTTGATGTTGTTATTGCTTCTGATTTTTGGTGCAAGATTTTAATATAAAAACACAAACAAAAACCAAGAAAATATTGATTGGATGATAAACGGCATCGATTCCCGTGAGGATGAAAACATAAATTCAATCTCCAAAAAACACATTTTACTGGGAGGATAAAAAACCATGCACACTTTACCGGGAGGGTAAAGAACAATGCCCGGCTCATTAAAAGTGTTCAATAAATTAGCATTTGGAGATGCAATTCAAAATTTTTGGTAATTAAAATTAAAATTGAAAAAAAAAAACTAAAAAAAGTAGATAAATCAAAGTGATGCATTTAGTCGATTGGATAAAGAAAAATGGAGAGTCCAACAATCAATATCCATCATTGTACCAGTTGCAGGCTTTCTACTGTCACTCATCACCTGTATCTTTTGATTGTGATGATAAATAGAAACGTTTATGGAGAAAAGTTCAAAAATTTTGAACAGTCAAATTTTATTCTTCAATATTACTGCTTTTTTTTATGTAACAGAAGTTATTTGATATACATTTTTTACCATATTATATACATCTACATAGAAACACACATTTGATCATAGTTCATGACTCAAGGTACATATTGTACTTGTCAACTCAAATATAATTCCCATGAACCAGCACAAAAAATAGATAATTATTAAAAAAATTAAAAGAAAGCTATCAACATGATGAAAATACCTATTACAACAAATGAGCCTTAATCCCAACTAGTTGGGGTCAACAATATGAAAGCAGTAAAAGATTAAACTACAGGAAGCCATTAGTATGCTAGTATTTGCAAAATTGCTAAAGTTATCATCTAACTATTACCGCTATAATGTCCTAAAAACAAAAATTGGTAACATAATGAAAGATCAATGCCATCATATTTGAAACAAAATCAATGTAATGCGAATGTAATGACAAAGTCACAGGATTTTCTTTTCCTTTGATTAATAAACTCATAAGAGCAACAACTACAACATCATAATTTAGGCCTGACATTAAATTAAAAAAAGAATTCTACAATTATTACAGTATATTCTCACCCTCTTTTCTTTTGATTGTTTTGACTTTTTGGTCTCAGCACACTCCAGTCCAGCTTTTCGTGCTTTGGTTGCTTGAAGGAGCCTTTGCTGCTATTTGGAGATGAATGTTGGCCCTCTTCAGTTTTTGGTGATTTATTCTTCTTTTGTGGCTCAGATGCTCCCTCAGGCTGTTTTCTTTTATTGTCTGCATCAGATTGTGCTTTACCAGGGTGTGAGCACTCTGCTTCATTTAGTGATGAACCATTTTCTCTGCACAAGCATCGAGAAAATGATGTGAAGATCGAATAACTTCAACAACAACAAAATTTGCCCTCTTCAGTTGGTGATTATTCTTCTTTTTGTGGCTCCGATGCTCCCTCAGGCTGTTTTCTTTTATTGTCTGCATCAGATGTGCTACCAGGGTGTGAGCACTCTGCTTTCATTTAGTTGATGAACCATTTTCTCTGCACCAAGCAAAATCGAGAAAATATGTGAAGATCGAATAACTTCAACACAACAAAAATTTTCGGGGGGGGGGGGGCCGGGGGGCGTCGGGCCGGCACCCCCGTGAAGAAAAGGAAAGTTACTTCCAAAATGAGTGTACTTGTTGCAAGACATGCAATCAATTTAATTATCTATTGGAAACATGGTGTCTAATTGATGTCTATATTTTCACTCACTCATGGGGGGGCGCGTGAAGAAAAGAAAGTTACTTCCAAAATGAGTGTACTTGTGCAAGCATGCAATCAATTTAATTATCTATGAACATGTGTCTAATTGATTGTCTATATTTTCACTCACTCATCTGTCTATCTACTTCTTAGTATTCAGTTCCAAATTCTCATGGACAGCAATAATTAGATTTAACTAATTAAGCAGTTAACGAAAACAACAAACACTGATCAGTGGACTGTAAACATTTAATTAACTGACTAGAAAATGCCAACTTAACCAAATGTAATGAGATATGCACAATGCACAATGCACGTCTTGTTTATCCATTCCCTCTATGGCCAAATTTTTTGTTTATTGCAGAAACACATATTATAAAGACATACCTGAGAATCCATATTCAAATCACAGATGTAATAAATCCACTTTGAAGTAAGAGTTTTTGCTTTATATAAACAACCACACGAGAGACAGAGGTTTAAGTCAAACCAACCCACCTAAAAGAGGTTCTTCCACTCTGACTGCCAGCATTAGTGGCAAGGTTTGCTGCTTCTTCATTTAGTTTCTACCAAGACAATTGATTTGATGTGAGGAGAGCATAAGCCAGAAGAGACGATTACTCGTGAGAGAAAAATGTTCAGGTCACAGGACCTTTATACTCACATCAACAGAAGGATTAAAACTTTGAAATGACATACGCCCTATAGCTGCTCCTGGATGGGGATCCCCTTCCATTAGTACCACACTACATGCACATAACACTAGTAGTCTAAGTGATCCATACAACATAAAAATAATACCATGACATTAAGTTTTAGTTATCAAAGACATTACTAAGGACCACAATCACACATAAGGGCCCTTCAATTAATGGAAAATAAATCCCTAGCATATGACAGCAAGAACCTTAGCCGAGATACCGCCACACCTAAGTTCAATTGACCTACCCCAAATCAGCAAGGCTTCAAATTGTGGTCACAATGGAGTGTAAGCATGTCAAATGTGTCGTGGCCCAAGTTTAATAGTCATGGTTGGTAGCATTGTCACTTTGATTAGATAGTTTGCTTCGTTATCAGTGCATCAAGATCACAATGATTCACTGTCTCGTGATTTTGTTGATTTGCTACATAATAGCCAACACTCAAAACCAAGCCAAATAGTCTAAACTCTCAACAGTGTATTTTGGTTAAGGAGGCATTTTGATCACGATACTAAGGGCTTCCATTCCAACCAGGAAAAAGAAGAAGGGAGAGTTTGTGCGGCAATCAATTATGCAAACTTTAACAGCTTAGGTTTATGCCAAGACCACGTGTCTTTCACAAAGAGTGAAACAAGGAGGGGGGAACAGAATGCTTCAGATAAAATATGCAGCAATTTGTTTACATGCTTCTTTAATTTTACTTTGTAATTTATTTATTAAATGTACGAGCACAAGAGGTGTATTAATTCACAAAGAAACAGAAATACAGAATCATGCACTGCCCAAATCATAGGATGACAATACTTCAGTCAAAGCGCAAACCAAGGCAGAATTATATCAAATAAAACTCAAATTAAGTTAGAACCTCAAGAAGCAAAACTAATACATAAAACTTTACCACTTTCTAATGACACCAGGGGAAAAGAAATTTCCATCAGGTTTCTCCTCTTCTTGTTTTTTAGTTTTTTCCTCTCTCTGAGCTGCCCTTTGCATAAACTATGTATAGGAAATTAAAACATAAACAGGTTCCCAAATCAGTATTTGTATAATTCACAAAATTAATTGTGCATGTTTCAGAAAAAACAAGTAAAATTTCACCAAAGTAATGCGAACCCAGATAAATCAAAGCAAAACCTAAGCTGTCACATCAAAGAAACACAAAGGCTAGCAGTAGAAACTAACAAGGATCAGCAATGGAGGTTTAAAAGAGTGAAATTTCAATGTTTGATAGTTTTATTACCTTCAAATTCTTCAAAGTACTAGAAATCTCGCGCTTTGCCATATTTGCAGAGGAATTTTCAAGCAACCCAAAGAACTGAGGAATAAGAAGCAGCTTGGTCAATTCGAAGAAGAAACAAAATTTGTGACTTAGGGTTTCAAAAATCGCCTTCAGCGAGTTTGTACTCTGTTAGGGTTTAATTTGAAGCAATGTGTATACTTTAGAAGGGTCCGACCCAGCCCATTGTTACCGTTTATTCTTCGAACTGGGATTCGGTTCCTAATATTAAAACCTCTTATTAATGTAAGAAGAAAAAAAGATACAGAATTATTTGTTGGTTATTAATTATGAAAAAAATACTTAAGGATTTGCTAATTGTTACTTAGAAATTAATCATTTTAATCCATAAAATTTGTTAATTAATTATTTTTGAGTACTTGTTAATTATTCAAAATTTTGAGAATTTTGTTATCAAATTAGATATATTTTATTAGATTATAATTCGGTCTCTAAAATTTTAAAAATTTAATCACATATACACTTTATTTTTTTTAATTATTTAACATAAAACATATTTCTAATTGCTTAAAAAATTAGACATAAAACATCTTTATCTATTAAAATTTGTCCAATTGAAACTTTTACTCCCAATTATAATCCAAACTTTGTAAACTTTGTATTTTTTCTAAATATAAAATGTATTAATTAGTAAATAATTTTTGTAATATAGATTTATCTCTATTATTCTTGTATATATAATAAGTAAATTATTTAATATAAATTTTTATTAAATAGAAAAATGCAAGAATCAATTTCCAATTTCATACAAGAGAAAACATTAACTGTAATCTAATTACTTGTTATGCGTAATACTATTGTGTTGGAGAATATATGAAGTGAGTACCAAAATTTGGATATTAAAATTCATAAGATGTATGTGAAACTAAATTTAAAACTTTGACACATTTTTTAAAAATTATCATTAGATTTATAAAATTAGATAAAATTATTTGGTGCACTCAATAATTGAATTACACATTTTTAATGAAATTTAAGATTTTAATACTAATATATTATTGAAATCAACACGTGAAAGGTGAATTTTATTGAAATTTGTAATTTCTACCTCTATTCCATAATACTTGTGATATTTAAAATTTCATTTTTTTTAAAAAAATCATTAAATTTGTCTAAATTATAATACATTATTGAGTCAATTAACTGTATCACCTTTAATTTAATACTAATTCTCTAAGAAACTATTAAATTGAAATAATAATTATAGGTCATAAACAAAGAGTAAATATGAAAAAAAATATTTATTACTTCTTGAAAACACAAATGAAACAAGTATTTTAGAATAAATTATTTTTTTAATTGTGACAAGTATTATAAAACTAGTAGTACTTAAATTATTGGAAGGATTTTATAATATTATAATATAAAAATATACGTGAAAAAGAGATTAAGAATTTAATATTTGAAATTTTAAAATTAACAACTTTGAGATTTTAGCAAGTAAAAAAAAAAAATACTAAATCAAATAAGTCAATCGGCTGGCCACCGCGAAACAGTATTCCTGATCCAGTTTCCACCAGGATTTAAGTTATAGTTGATATATAAATTATAATTACTTCGTCTCATTTACATATACGATATGATAGAGTATCTCCTAACCTATAAAATCAAACAAACCGCACTCTCTTTGAATCACTCACCGACATCAACCTCCACTCTTCTCCTTTTTCACCGATCACTATCAGAGCCCGTAGGTTTTGATTAAATATTCATTCGTTTCTTCATTGATTTTTTGGCTTTTCTTTTTTATCTTTTTTTTTTTTTTTCCTTCAATTTGTTGATGAGTTTGGATAAGTAGTTCTCTTTTGCTTTGAATTCTTCATCTTTTTTTTTTCCTCGGGTTTGATTGATTATTATGCGAATTGGGTTTTTCTTTTTCCATTAATTTCTCTGTTTTCGTTTTCATTTGACAGTTTGTCAGCAGACTTATTGCGGGTGGAAGTTGTTTAACTGGATAAGCTATGGTATATTACTTATCTATTACCATGTGTATTTGCTTTGTAGTTTGTACTCCATTGATTATCAACTTAATGCACATGATCTACTGATGAGGGGTTTTTATAATTTTTGATGGGCATGGGTTTTATTTATACAGAAACTATGAATTCAAATTAAAATGGTTAATGCGCTATGGCTTTTAAGCTATGGATCTTCTTTTCATTGTATTCAAGTTTTGGAATTATGAGGAAAAGAAAAGCTTAAACATTGTTTTAGATTTTTTGATCTTTTGTTGTTAAAGTCTTACTGTCTGTTTTCAGTGAAATTGCTGTTATCTAATTGCATGCTTTCATTTTGATGATCTGTTTTGGCAATTGCAGGATCACTTAATGCGCCGTAGTTCCATGTTTGAGCATAGCTATCGCTGCTACCCTGTCTCTTTCATTGATAAGGTATTAACTGCAGAAGTGTTGGCACTAGTGGTTTTAAATTTCTAGTACTGAATTTGTTGCAATTCCTGCTTGTTTGGTAACTATTGTTTTTGGTGGCATATCTCCAATTGAAGAAGACATCTTTTGATCCGCTAAATTGTTATGTAGTTCAACATATTTTTCATTTAATCCTCATGGTTTAGCTTATTGAGTATTCATTAGAGATTTAGCTCCTAACTATTCTAACTCATTGAATATTTGCAGGCACACCTCGAGAAGGGAGATAAAAGTAAGTTGATCTTCTCATTTAAGTTCTTTAATATTATCCACCTTTTATTTTTTCTTCTCCTTTCTTTCTTGAGATATCCGTGTTCAAAGGTTTGTCATTAATTAATTCTTGTTGCTTGCAGTTATTATGCCTCCCTCAGCTCTTGATCAACTTGGTAAGAAAATAATTCTCAGATGTTTTCTCTTCCCTTCATTTTCATGTGTTTTAAGATGGATTTTCTTTTCGTCGAGCCAATTGTAATTTAAGTGTTTGCTCTCCAGCTTCTTTGCACATTGACTACCCAATGCTATTTGAACTCCGAAATCCTTCTGTTGAGCGAGCAACACATTGTGGAGTTCTAGAATTCATTGCTGATGAGGGCCTAATATTCTTGCCCTATTGGGTATGCTCCTGAATTCTGTTGTTATGCTACTCGTTATTTTACTTGCTACTCATCTGCTTATCGTCTCTATGCTTTCAGATGATGGAAAACATGCTCCTCCATGAGGGAGACATTGTCCAAATTAAAAATGCCAGCTTGGTAAAGGGAACTTATGTAAGGCTGCAGCCACACACTAAGGATTTCTTGGATATCTCCAACCCCAAAGCAATGTTCGTCTATCATTCTTGTTCTTTTTTCTTTATGATAGTAGAAGTAAAGAAATTGAGAATTATTTTTACTTTTATTTAATCCTTGTTTGATTCTTGTTTGCAGCTTAGAGACTTCATTGAGGAACTACTCTTGTTTAACAACTGGTGATACAATAATGGTTGCTTATAACAATAAGAAGTATTACATCGACATAGTCGAAACAAAACCATCCTCTGCAGTCAGTATTATTGAAACAGACTGTGAGGTGGATTTCGCTCCGCCTCTTGACTATAAAGAACCTGAAAAGCCCGCAGCATCTTCTAAGTCGAATAAGACACCACCTGAAGGTTATATTTTTAGTTTTCTATTAAAAGTTTGTCAAATTTCTGAATGTTATCTATTATTGAAAATCTTGTAACAAGTGAGCCCTTTAAAGAAATTGCTGTCCCTCTTCAATTCTCAGTTGAGGAAGAACCACCCAAAAAGATACCAAAGTTCAGTCCCTTCACTGGTGTAGCAAGACGCTTGGATGGCAAGCTATCAACAGAATCAGCTGGACCAGCTACCAATCCAGTACTGAAACAACACAAATCAGAGGCTGTGAAAGATACTAGTGGGTCCAAGACATCATCAAACTCTGCATCTCGTTCACACTCCGGAAAACTTGTCTTCAGTTCAAATGTAAATCAACCCCAAAATGAAACACCAAAGGTGCGTCTAGCTTGCTTTGTTTTAGTATACAGACACCCCAAAAATAGAGTTTCTTTTTTCTTTTCTCCCAAATATGTGCTATAAATTAATCAGAATTGGTTTCTTTTCTTTTCTTTTTTTTTTTTTTTTATTCTTAGATGCCTTTGACGAAGAGCAACCAGGAAGCAGCTCAGAAGGTGGACGATCAAAAGTTTCAAGCATTCACAGGGAAAAAGTATTCTTTGAAAGATTGAAATTGATTGAACTTCTACGCCATTTTTGAAGTTGAAGTTCGAGTTTATCCATTCATGGTGTTTTGGGGTGGAGGTTCTCCAAGCTTTTTATTGCCATATGATTGTTCTTAATTCTCCCCATGACATTTCAAATTAACAAGCAGAATTAACAGTGATGATGACGCAAACTCCTTTTCATTGCTAAATTATATATTCTCTCAGTGGTCAATCGAAGATTCAGTTTATTAATATTTTCCAAAATAAAACAAAGCAGGAAGGCCAACCCTGCTACAGGCCTAGTACAGGAATTAAAAAGAGAGAAAAAGCTGAAAGCTATTACAAAGTTAAAGACTCTCTTAAGAGCGAATGATTAAAGAAGATACTCCATAATATGACCTTTTACGTTTGAAGTTAAAGTTAATGATAAATAGATGGATAGATAAAATTGTCACCCAGTTATAAACTAAGCTTCCACTGGGGTCTCAATTGCAACCTCTCCTGAATATTTGGCACCTTCAGACTTCTCATTAGCTTCCCAGAGCTCTGGCAGTGCTTCCTTCATATTGTGGATGCTCTCTAGTGCATAGTCTACGCCTAGAGTTCGATGAGAAGCGCCTACCTGTTGTACCCACACCATGTTAAAGTTTGTAAATGCAAAATTCTGAGAATACATTAAAAAGAACTGATGGAAAACAGAATTTGATATCAATTAGCTCACCCAAACAGTGGTGAGACCCAATCGGCTCCCAGTCTGTATGTTTCGGAGGCTATCATCGAAGAATAACTGGAAAGCGATGAACGGCAATGTCAATGAAAGATATAATAGACCGTATGCCTAAGGAGTCATACTTGGAATGGTTCGGGTAAAATGGAGACCCTTCACAAAAAAAAGTGACATGCAACATTCATAGGTTCAAGTCGTCTAGCATTTCTGCGCGGATGCAGCACAAACTTGAACCTAACACCATTCCCTGTATTAACAAAATATAATTATCTCACCGTTCTTTGAGGGTTGATGCACGCGATCTTGAAGGTCTGCTCAAATGCTTCATCAAATGGTTTGCAGATAACTGGCGACCTTGGAAGCTCAATACCAGCATTAGGAGCAGCACTATATTCATTAATGTCAAAAACTCCATTCTCTTCCTCAACAACTGGATCATTGCCTTTATTTGCATTATTTAAAGTCTCAAAGCATATGGTTCCTTCAAAACAATCTTCCAATCCAAGTCTACTAAGGACTCTACCAGCATGAGTTTTGTCCCCATTAGTGAATATCTATACAAAGAGATTGAATTAGTACATACCATAAACAGACTTAGAAAACAAACAGAAGAGTTAATACATATCCAGAAAGAAATCGGAACTTACAACTTTGCGGGCAGGTATGCTGTGTAAAAGATTTCTAAGAACAGGGTCAGGCTTTAGGATGTCATAAGGTAATCTTCCATGTACAAAACTGTATAAATTGACAGAAGATTAGTCCAAATATATTTCACAAAGTCACAAAAAGAAACAAATAGGCATAAAAAACAATGATTTATTTACCTATGGAAGTCATCATAATCGAACCTATACCCTATAGCCTGCAGACAAGAAAATAGACGGAACAAATTTATTATTTTTTTTAATCAAACACCAAAATTAAGTAAAATACCCAGAAGAAAAGCCAAAAAATAAGTTTCTTCAACCATACCCTCAGACCAGCCAATGTTGTTCCGTAATACTTGTACAAGGAAACGCACAATTCTGAGACTTTACTTTCATCAATGCCAAGCTTTTGAACCATATACTCTAAAGATCAAAACAAAGAAATTCCAAAATGAATTGCACCATCCAACAAATTCAAAATTACACATTGTTCTGCACTTTGAAATAAAGGTGGATTTGAATTCGTATATTGAGTGAAAAATCACAAACTTCCAACATATTAAATATCAAATTCAAATAACCCTTCATTTCGAATTCTCATTCTCATATATCCAAATGGAATCTCAAGCAGTTACTAAGTTCAATTACCTTCAATATTCTTCGTCACATGCTGAGACAAACCAGAACTCAAAGGATAAAGGGTGTCATCCAAATCTGAAAATTAAATTTTAAGACATACCCATTAATCCACTGTTACATTGAACTCTAAAAACATATATAACCGAATAGCTTCCAAACAACAATAAGACAAAATCAGATTTTAAAAGCATATTACGTTCTTACCAAAAAGGAGACACTCATACTTCTCCAGAGCCATTCGTTTTTCTCCCTCGTACTCCATTTTACTTTAATCTCTGCACTACCCAAAAACAGGAAATTTAACCAAAGTGATAAATTGATTCGAAACGTTCGAAAGAATTGACATCAAATTAAAATGTAAGTAAAAACCCGCACAAAATCCCAGATCAAACCTATAATATGGCTAAAAAATGCCACACTCGAGTAATATTACAACAAAAGAAGTACCAAATGCAACCGAGAAAATGAGACCCAGCAAAATGGGGCAAAAAAGATATAGAAATTGAAAAAAAAAAATGATAAGAAGAATAGCACATTACCAGATAAATTCGCAGAACCGCAAAATGATAAGGAGAAAGCGAAATGGCAATAGGTTAAACCTTAAAGAAGAGAGGAAATGCGAGAGAAAGGGAAAGAAAAAGCGTGTTGGGGTATGTCTTTAAATGGGGAGAAACCATGAATGCTGGAGGTTGAGGAAAAATAGCAATAATAATTGAAAATTGAAAATAAAAATTAATTAAGTTAAAATTTATTGGACGAAAATCTAGAAGATACGGAAATGTAAGAACCGTTGACTTACGCGTATGAAAGTTCGACACGTCTCCATCAAATGTAATGAGTTGGCGTGTCTTGTTGAAGTCCATCAAAATTAACATTGTCATCGACCCAAAGGATAGTTAACAGACAGGTTTATTCGGTTTGATTTGATCTGATTTTTAAAAAATATTTAATTCAATTTGGCAAATTTCGATTTCAATCAGGTTAATATACCTTATTGAACATCTTTCTTATGTTATATAAGAATCATAGGTGATTGGTCTATAATTAATACTTTCATGAGTTGAATTCATCGATTAAAAAACAAAAAAGAAAAAGAAAAGACTTTATTGATAATCATAAAAATGGGATACAAAATGTCCCTGCACAGGTAACTACAAACTCCCAAATAGAAAACAGTAATCAAGCTAAGCTGTGACAGATGTCTCAATTGCAACTTTTCCAGTACCATACTCTGTAGATTTTGAATTGTCAGTTGCTTCCCATAGTTCTGGCAATGCTTCTTTCATATTGTGGATGCTCTCAAGCACATAATCAGCCCCTGAAACTCTATTGGATTTGCCAACCTAAATATCCATTTTTTTTCTCAAATTAGCTAATATAAGTACAATTTTAATTACAAATTATGTATTTTGAATAATTACAGAATACATAAGATATAATTAAAGCAGATTGTTATTTGTCGCAATTCAATCGATCGACCAATAGTAGAGCTATAAATGAGTCAGACCGCTTATAAATTATTTAAAATTCAGTTCGATAAACTTAACATGTCAAACTCAACTCAGCCTAACGAAACATGTTTCATAAACCAATAAATTTGAATTAAAAAAAGGTATTTCTTTTTAACAATAAATTGTAAATGAGCTTAGTTGAAACTTAGTTTTTAAAGCTCAAATCAGCTGATCTTCGGCTCAACAAAGCTTGAAACTCATTTATAGCACTAACCAATTAAGTCAATTTAATTATAATATTTATTATTGATAGAAATGTTGAGATTAAAAAAATTCAAATCGAATTGAGCTCGGCGCATTTATTAAAATTAAGTAATAATAAAAATAATAAACCGGCAGTAGAATATTATTAAATTTACCAGAACAGTTGTCAGTCCCATTTGCTTCCCTGTCTGAATATTTCGGATACTATCATCAAAGAACACCTGAGAAAATAGTTGACATTATTAAGCATATTAATGACAAAATTAATTAATGATTAGAGAAACATTACTTACTGTTCTTTGAGGATTAATGTTAGCCAACTTAATGGCATGCTCAAATGCTTCTTCAGATGGTTTGCATAAAACTGGAGTTTTAGGAAGTACTGAACCAAAATCAAAATGACAGGAATGACCTCCAATTTTAAGGTCATTTTCGTAATTATTGGCATTGTCGTTGGTGTTGTCATTGGGATTAAGAGTCTCAAAGCATATAATCCTCTCAAAGCAATCCTCCAATCCAAGCTTTCTCAGAGTCTTAGCTACATGGACTTTATCAGCATTTGAGAATATCTGTCAAAAGAAAAGAAACAAAAGAAAAGAAAATTCATCAAATGAAGTTCAATTTGAGCCAAATTGTTGTAAATCGAATCATGGTTTATGTATATTATTGTAAACCGTCCTTATTTAAATCGAGCCTGAGCTCAACTCATTTTCAATAAATCGAGCTCAGGCTCGAATATGAATTGAATTCAATTTGGCTCATTTACGGTCTACAAAAGAACTTACAACTTTTCTAAGAGGCAAGCTGAACAAAAGACTCCTTAAAACATGATCAGGCTTCAGATTATCATATGGTAATCTCCCATGAACATAGCTGAAAATTTATTTCAACCTGTAAGATAATTATTTTATTTTTAACATATATACTAGACAAAGAAGATATTTATCATACCTGTGATAGTCATCATTGTCAAAGTCATAACCAATGGCCTGAAAAATTGAGAATTAAACATAATTAAATTAATTTAATTGAACAAATAATGGTTCTAAAAATGGTTTATTTTTACACTAAAAAATAATTTATATATATATATATATATAGACTACCTTGAGACCTGCCATTGATGTTCCATAGCTCCTGTACAATTCTTGATTCAATTGATAGGCTTTGTTTTCTTCAATACCAAGATTCTGAACCATGTACTCTATAAAAGAAAAGGCAGAGAAAAATTATGGATGAAAATAAAATAACAAAAAAAAACAATTTTTTAATAAAATAAATACCTTGAATATTTTTTGTGCATTCCTTTGAGAAACCAGTACTCAAGGGATAAAGGGTATCATCCACATCTGAAAAAAGAAAATAAAATAAATCCATTTATTAGTTTTAATTTGAAAAGAAAAATTTGCAGAAAATCAAATGGGGAAGCTTTGAACTTACCAAAGAGCAGAGTATCATATTTTTGCTCAATTGAGTGATCTTCAAATGCCATTTTAATCCAAAAATCTTTAGAAGGAAGAAGAAAATTAGAGGCAGAGATGTTGCTGTTGAAGATGAAGAAGAATGCAGAGAGATGAGATGTGGGTTTTCAGTTATGAAGAAATTGGAATATATAGAGAAGAGAAAAAGCAGAGGAAAGAAAACAGAAGCTCCTCCTTTTCCATTGGTCAACAGAAAAAACAATATATTATCAGCCATGAATTAACAATTAGCTACTTCTTTTTGACTTCTTTTTCAATTAATTTTATTATTACAGAACGACAGCAGCAGCAACCAAAAAAAAAAAAAAAAAAAATTGAGACTATCAGAAGGCTCCCACGCTTTTCACTATTGGTCAAACAGAATCATAACAATATATTGATCTATCCATAGACAGGAATTAACGAAAATATTGACTACTTCTTTTTGACCTTCTGTTGTCAAATGGTAAATGTTAATTATTCCACAGGAAAATCGAGACAAGCAGACTGCAGACTAAGCCAAAACAAATAAAAAATACTCATATTAGAAAAGAAAGCTAATCCGCTTCTGAAGGAGAATTTAACTGGAACAGGGACAAGTGGGAATTGATAATTTTTCTTGTGAGGTATTTTATCCGTGAATCATCGATCGTGAAATATGATACATTAACTATGGAGGGTGCTAAATGGAAATAGGGCAGAAATAAACAATCATATTGAATCTTTTTATGAAGACATCCCATAACACATGGCTTACACGTAAATACTCATTGTCTATTTACTTTCTAAGACTATTTTCTTCTTCTTATCTTTATTAATGGCAGAGTCAATGGAAGTATATAAGTTGAAATTAGAATACTTAGATCGAGATACGACGTGGAATTAGCTCAAGAAACTTAAATAATATAATATTTAGTTATTTATATTTAAGCAAATGTTAGACCCTTACTTCTTATAAGTAGAAATGATAAATGGGGTGAGACAAAAAATAAAAAAAAAAAAAAAAAAACAATTGAAAGAGAAAGAACCTTCTGAAGGAGAATCATGAACAGGGAAGTGGAATGTAAATCTTTCTTTAGTCAATTTTTATGTGTCATGATCGTAAATATGATACATTAACTATGGACGGTGCTAAATGGAAAAGGGCAGAAATAAAATCATATTAATTTTCTATTAGACATCATAACAACATTCCTAAAACTCATTTTATTACTTTCTACTTTTTCTCTCTTAATCTTAATGGCAGAGTCATGGAGAGAATAATTGAAATTAGAATACTTAGACGAGATAAAGTGGAATTTAGTCAAATTAAATAATATTTTATTATAATTTAAGCAATTTAGCTACTTCTTATAAAAAAATATAAATGAGAGACAAAAATGGATAGAACGATTGATTTCCATTACATACTGTGTGTGTGTGTGTGATTACAATATTTTGGATATGATAATTAAAAGACAATGTCACAAAAATTTAGACATCAATAAGTGGGATGTTGGAAAATAATTCATCAGAGCATAGACAAAAAAAATAATAATAATAATTTCACATGATTCTTTTCCTATTTAACTTTTTCTTCCGGGGGCCATGATGTAGTGATAAGTTGGAATACTCATATATATTAATTTCCATTTCCATTCATTTTATTGTATTGTGGAATGTTAATTTATACAAGTGTTGGAACACTATGTTAATGGATAAAATTACAATATATATATATATATATATATTTTATAAAAGTGACATATAGTTAGTTTTCAGCCATCTAAAAAGAAACTATTAATGCCATAAGCCAAGATCCAAAGTTGGGGGAATTAAAGAAAAATTTTTAAAATTAGAAAAGGTAAAATTACAAAAATTTAAAGTTTAAATTTAAACAAAATTAGCTATACTAACGTTAATCCAATCTAAAGGAAGTAACATTTCAGAACATGTTCATTCAAATTCCATGTATTAGTGTTAACGCTAATACTACCGAATAATATAAATAATAGATACTATCGAACAACATAAATAATAGAGATAATATTATTATGCCGTCGAATAATATAAATAATAGATATATTATTTTGACCTAATCAAAATACTAAAAGTTATATTAAAAGCGGTTGACCAAATAGGGTGTAAGTCACTCTCTTCATTTTGTATGATTGATAATCGTGTTTTGATATCAAGCTATTAAAATAAATAGATAATTTTTCAAATCCTCTCTAATACTTGAGTGTGAACAAATATTATTCAATGTTGATTTTATTCAAAGTGCATCAATTGTTTATTTAATAGTAAACGCTAAAATAAAAAATATATATATAACATTCCTCGCATGTTTGGAATGACATTAACAATGACTTCGGAAGTTAGAGTTTCCTATTTTAATTAGTTGTTATGAAAAAAAGAAATATATATATATATATATATAAAGAAACATGTATAGATATATAAATATAAATAAGAAAAATTAAAATTATCTAAATTTAATTGTCTTAAAAATAATAGTTAAATAAGAAAAAATTTTAAACTTATAATTATCTATATATACTTATTAAAAATAATCGATATGAAAACTACGTCTATGAACAATATCAAGTTTCAACTCGTCTTCTTGGCTCATGCGGAAAATATTGGCCTACACCTAATTGGGTTGATACACCAAAACAATGGTTATATGCGAATTAAAAAGAAAAATATTTGAGCCTTTTTCCTATTTTTTACCATAACTATACAAAAATATTGTTCTTTAAACAACATAAAGAAATGAAAGAGATTAGTTACTTAATTCATGAGATGTTTTTCCTTGTAAAATACTATTATTGAAATGCAAGGTTTTATTGGTTGTCTAATTTGGAAATTATACCAACCAACCATGTCGAAATTAGTTGAAAGTCAATTCAAGACTAGGCTTTCTTTTGTCTCCTAAAATAGCTTGGGTTGATAGTAATAATTGTATTCTAGAAAAAGGAAATGGTCGGTTTAACTTTGAATTATATTCAGGTGATGGAGACTTGGCAACTTGATTTGTTGGTAATAACTCAGCAGGTGCGCATTCTTTGCTTTGTCAGAAACAGGAACCTAGGAGTATGAGACAAAAAAAAAAAGGATATGAGATGAGCAGCTGAGAAAACAATCTCTTTTATAATTTTGAATTTAGAGTGATACTATGATCATAAATTGCAATTATACAAAAACTCAGGTACAATGAAAAAAATGTACATAACCCTCCAGAATCTGAAAAGTTAAGCTGCAGCAACTGGTATGGATGTACCATCATCCTCGTTACCAATGACTGGGATTTCTGTAACCTTCTCTTCCTCTTTAAACCCTTCTTTAAATCTGTCGTAGTTTGTAACCTCACTTGATTTAAAAGGTCGTTCACCCAAAACTCTAACCAAATCATCTTGGTGAAGAACTTCTTTTTCAAGTAACAGCTCCGCAATCTGAGCCACTTGTTCTTTATGTTCTTCGATAAGTTGGACTGTTCGCTCGTATGCCTTTCCCACCCATTCTCGCACTTCACCGTCAATCAGCGCCCCAGTCTTACTGCTGTAGGGCTTGGACATCTCGTATGAATCTTCCCTTGGAGGGAAAGAAAGGAGCCCCACCTTGTCACTAAAGCCATAAACTGCTACTTGGGCATAAGTCATTTTTGTCACTTTCTCCAAGTCATTTTGAGCTCCGGTCGAGATTTTCCCCAACAATACCTGCATTCAAAAGATAAACATTCGTCAGAATTACATTTGGTATTCAAAAGATAAACATTCGTCAGAATTACATTAAGAAAGTGAAGGCATTTCACTGATTCATTAGTTATACGAACTTATCATATGTTCTAGGTTCAGTGTTAACTTGTTATCATTTGTTTTGGCTTGGTGACAAACTCGTGCGTGATTAGATGCGCGAGAGTATAATGGAAAAATAACACAATTGCTAAAGCATCTTCCCTGCTTATATGAAAGTACAAGGACTCTTTTTGTTCCCACATTGAATCGAAGGATCTACTACATTGAGTAATTATTTAACTCAATGCCAGAACCAAAAAATCCCGTAGAAAGTGATACTATATAAAAACAAGCTATATGTTTAGCATTTACACAGCACAAGTGTCACCACTAGTAAAGGTTCAGGGTTTCATTATTACCTGTTCAGCTGCTCTACCTCCAAGGGTCATGCATGTCATATCAAAAAGCTGCTCCTTAGTCAAGAGAAGGTTTTCATTAGGAACATACTGTGCAAATCCAAGGGCAGCAGTACCACGCGGAACAATTGTCACTTTTAGAAGAGGTTCTGCGTGTTCCAAGAACCAGCCAGTAACAGCATGACCTGATTCATGATAAGCAACAGTTCGGCGCTCCTGCTTGCTTATTACCTGCTTGATAAAACAGGAATGTTAGCAAAATCCCAAGAACAGTTCTTGAAATGAGTGGAAACAAAAAAATTGTCACTCTTCCCAACAAAGAAGGATTAAGAATTTAGCTGGAACAAACTTTTCATTTACTTGTTGGCTTTGTTATAATTATTATTTTAAAAAAAATGCCTATTTTGGAGAAAATCCCTAAGCATCGCACAAGGTATTTCATCCACCATTGAATCACCTTGAAAAACTGAAATGCAATAACTAACTAAAAATGATTTACCTTGTTCTTCTTCTCCAAACCACCAATTATTCTATCTATTGCTGCCTCAAAATTGTCCATTGTCACCTGTGAACCTTCACACCTAGCAGCTACTAGTGCAGCTTCATTACAAACATTTGCAATATCTGCCCCAGCAAATCCAGGAGTGAGGGCTGCGAGCCTTTGCGAATAATATGATGGCTCATGATCAAGTTTTATTTTTTTCAGGTAGATATTAAATATCTGTTCACGGCCTTTAATATCTGGCTTATCAATGGATATTTGACGATCAAATCGGCCTGGTCTCAACAAAGCTTTGTCTAAAATGTCTGGCCTATTAGTGCCAGCAAGCACAACAACTCCAGAAGTAGTTCCAAAGCCATCCATTTCGACCAGTAACTGATTAAGAGTACTTTCTCGCTCATCATTGCCACCTGAGAAGCCCCCACGCCCCCTCGCTCTGCCAATCGCATCAATCTCATCAATAAATACAATACTAGGAGCACACTGCCTAGCTTGTTGAAACAAGTTTCTCACTCTGGACGGTCCAACACCAACAAACATCTCCATGAAATCTGAACCAGAAATGGACAGAAAAGGCACTCCAGATTCCCCTGCAGTTGCCTTTGCTAGAAGGGTCTTTCCAGTTCCTGGAGGACCAACCAAAAGAGCACCTTTCGGAATTTTAGCTCCCAGTTCCTCATACTTCTTTGGGTTCTTGAGGAAGTGTACAAACTCCATGATTTCCTGCTTCGCCTCATCACAGCCAGCAACATCTTTGAAATATACCTAGAGTGCCCAATGTGGAAAATGAATAAATACTAGAATGTTACTTGAAGAACCTTCTATGAGATATGGGCTAAATGGCACCTTTAGAATGATTAGAAAAGGACACTGAAAAATTGGCGCTTTAAAAAGATAGATGGAACAAAGCAAGCCACGATATTGACAAAGAAAACAGAAAGCTACCTTATTCTTAGCATTTTTATCCACTTTGGTCACATGAGCCTTCCCTATGTTGAATATTCCACGGATATTCTTTCCATCGCCTCCGCCACCACTGCCAACGCCTAATCCACCTTGCATCCTACGTCCCATGTACAGGCTTCCCAAAAGTAAGAGTATTGGTGCAAACTTCATCCATTCTTGGAACCAAGCTATTTCAGAGACATATGTAACGGGAACATAGTCATGAGGGTCTATCCCTAATGCTTCTTGGGCTTCCTCCAACTTATCCTCAAAAGATTCGACACTTCCGATATTGAAGTAGCATTTGTATTGGCCGCCATGTCCTCTAGCAGGGGCACCATTAATGGGACCCTGCACAAGTTCATCAGTTGGTGGCTTCGGGGCTGAGCTCCTTACATACACTTTTGCAACTGATTTATTGGAAACAACTATATGATCGACTAAACCTGGTTCAAGAAACTTATTTTTGAATTCTTGGAAACTAATCTGCAAATAACAAAATTCAAAACAAATGAGAGTAGAAAAAGAGTAAAAATAAATAAGCTTTCACTCCTTATAATGGAACCAAAATAGCATAAGCAAAAAAGGAAATGTCTCATTGAAATTTAAGTCCCTGCACAAAGAAATGTCTCGCTGAATGCGCTGACTTCTAATTTTTGTTTGATCACAAAAGTAATTTTTTCTAAAACTTGAGAAAAAAAAAGAGAGAGAGAATATTAGCCAAAATAAATCATGTAGTTGATTCCTACGACCCACAATCAATCCCCTTTTGAGTTCAGTAGTTAATTATATTTTGAAAATGGGTGCTGTTAATTAGTTTTTGTAAATTTTTAACTGTCTATCACACTATTACATTAAGTCATAAATAAAGAATATCACTGATTCACTACAAATATTAGTCTGTCCGAAATAGGAGCATATAGAAGCATACTAGTATAGTTTAATATGGTTTCAGAAAATTATAGAGCCACTTGTGAGCAAAAGGCTAAAACAGCAAATATGAGATAACATCGCAAGTTACACATATAAGAGGAAGAAGAAATTACACAGCATGAAAGTTTTCCCTTGTGATTTAATTCTGTAAACTAATCCAAGAAAATCAAGAATATGTCACCATGCTAACACTTGCAACTAGTCAAATTAAAAATGTACTGAAGCACACGGCAAAGACATTGTAGAAAAGGGAAAGGGAAGAAAAACAAATTGTTTACCTGTTGCTCTTCATGAGATCCAAAAGCAAAGGGTAGAAGTGCCCCAATGACTACTAAAGCGGTCAGCAAATTGGATTGCCTGATGAATTTCTTATCGAAGCTCCATTCGTCATCTGTGTTTGACAAAAAAAACATTACTCCTTTCCATGTTCTAAAACCAGAACCCAAACGCGCCAAAAGATTATGTCAGACTTGCAAGCTAAGCAGCTTGTACTTCAATATTGAAAAGAAAAAAAAAGAAAAAAGATCTTCTGGTTTATTCATCACGAAATAGGAATAAGACACCCAATTTCTCAATTCAAAAGCACATTTCATATTCTTATTCGTATCCCCCAAAAGAAGAACATTATAATAACACTCATAAATGAAAAAGAAGGGAGCCAGAATAGGTTATAACACATTCCCGTTTTCTCAACAACCTTGCTATAACTATGAGCACAATATAGGAAGCCAGTAGTTAAAAGAGCACAAAGTAAACAAAGCAACTGCGGACTTAAAGGGTGAAGTCACCTTTGGATTCAGATTTCTGCCCATTCCCTTTTGGTGCTTCCTTCTTCTCCTTGGGAGAGAAGTTCTCATAATCTGCAAAATATTTTTTTTTTTTTTAAAAAAAGGACACTAGTATACAAACCCTGACGCTCATCTAAAAATCGAAAAGGGAATTCTTTTAATATATATAAGAAAAAGGGCATAGATGTGCTTACTTTTCTTCTTCGGAGCTTTGCTGGAGAAAAGACGTCCAATTCTAGGGTTAGCAAGAAGGTAATTCCAATCAGATAAGTAAGATTTTTTAGAATTAGCTCCAATTGAAGCTAAATATCCTCTGACAAACCCTAATCCTCCATCAATTCTCTCTGAAAAGCCAACTCCTCCTGCTCCTCCTCCTGTTAATCTTGAAATAGCCGATCTTCCACCACTACCACGCAATACATTCTATAATTTAACACAAGAACAAAATCAAAAAGATATATATAAAATCTACATTTCAATTCTGGAAATTATACAAAAAAGAAAAAGAAGCTCACAATAGAAGCAGAGGATCGCGAAACTTGACGAGATAGCTTAGAAAATATCATTATAATATAATTAAATTGATTTCTGGATGGAAACTAAATTGAAGTGTAAAACTTAGGATTTTATGGTTATTTGAGGAAACGCGTTAGCGTTGAGCTGTTGATTAAACGTCGAACTTGGGAAACAAGAAACGGAGCACTTGCCAATTTTCAGAATCTGTAAGCGGATAAGTTAATTTAATTGAATAAATAATAATTGTATGTATAACATGTTTTCTAGGGGCAGAGATGTAATTTGATCTAATAAATAATAAGATAATTGGTTGGTTCATATATAAATAACACATAAAATATGGTTTAACTATCAATTTCACTGTGAACTTTTTAAATAATTACAATTTTATCCTAAATCAATCTTTTTAATTTTATACTATAGTTACCCTGAACTTATTTGACCTATCTCCTAACTCTATTATTTCAATTAGTCAAAAGCTTATTAGTAAAAATATACGTCCGAATATATAATTTAACTCTTGAACTTTGATGAAAAAACTTTGTGATGGTTTGAACTTCAACTTTTATAATAATTTTATATTTCTTTATTCTAGAAATAACAATTTTTTAAGATTTTTAATTTTTATTTATAAAAAATTAATTTGATACGTGGTAATATAACTTTTGAAATAATAATAATATTTATATTTTTCAACTATCTAATAAGTATTTAATTGATATGATTTTATAAATAGATGTATTCAATGGATCTATAAAATATTTAACAGCCCAATTTTATAATTTGAAGCAAATCAAATTTAAAATTATGGGTGTCGCAATATTTTTTTTATGAAAAATATAGAGGTGAATATATATATATATATATACATAAATTCAGTTTAAGTTAAAAAAAAAAAAAAAAAAAGAAAAAAAAGGGTTGAATTTAATGCAGTAGCAACAATCAACTAATATTGATGAAATCAACACATACTTAAATCCAACTGTCAAGAGTTAAATGTAAGGAAAAAAAAATTTAAAGTCTTCTAATTTAGGGGAAACTAACATACAGGTACTTAAGATCCAAAAAGTTAGCTTTTTTTTTTTTTTTTTTTTTGGGTCCCAATTAATGTGTAAGGAATAGAAATTACCCAATTTAAAAAAAAATTTCAAAAGCTTTAAATTATGCTTTTTTTTTTTTTTTTTTTTTTTGGTCAATTAATGTGTAAAGGATAGAAATTACCCAATTTAAAAAAATTTCAAAGCCTTTAAATTATGCTTCCGTCTAAAATTAGGACTCTCACTTAAAAGGACCTATATATTAATAATAGAAATACTATAATTTAGGATTCCATAATTATTTCTTAAAAATAAAAGTATATATGTAATTCAATATAATTTAGAGGCCGAATTTTTTTTCCCTCCTAATAATTCACCTTTAAATTTGAAAATATTGTAACGAGTGTCATATTTTGAAACTTTATTTTAAAAAATATCAGCTTTATCTCAAATATTAAAATAATGTCTTTTTTATTATTCATTTACTATTTTACCCTTTTATTGTCGTCTTTGTTGTTGTCGTTGCTTTTGTCATTGTCGCAGTTGCTACTGTTGTTGGTTCTATTGTCGTCATCGTTACTACCATCACCTTTGTTGACGTTGCTCTCATCACCTTTGTCAACGTCGTTGTTGCTATCGTCGCCTTTATTGTCATTGGCATCGCTGTCATAGGAAGTCAATCATCCGAAATCGATTACTGATCACTATCGCCATTATCAGTCGTTGTGGTTGAATCACAAAAGCCTTTCTATTTTAAGGTTACTTTCGATATTACTTTAACTTTTTAACCAAAACTGGTATTATATTAATTTTTAAATATTTTTGACATTTTGTTTAATTTAAAACTTTATTTTTGACATTTATTAAGTTGCCCCTTATATTTTTGCAACATTTTTCATTGTACATATGATGATCCACACACACACACACATATATATATATATAGACACATGCATTTGAGGCCAAATATACAAATTCATCTCTATAATTTATATAAAAAATTTATGACATTTTAAATTTTAAGAGAAACATATTATGTTCCTAAAATTTATGAATTTTGGTAGCACTATACATCTATGTATACTAGCAACAATAGTTTTTTGATATTTTTGGCTTTAATATGTAAAATATTAATTTGACGTGTGATTATTACAATTTTAGAATAATAAGTTTCACATTTTTAACTGTCCATAAATATTTAACTTATCTAAATTTAAAATTGAAGTGTCTAATACAAAAATTTTACAAGTTGAAGTGGTGCAATTTTATAAATTAAAGTATTGAATAAGTCAAAATAAAAGTTAAAGGTGCCAAAAGTTTTTTATGTAGAGTACAATAATTAATACATGCTTTCGACAATTTTGTATTAAATGGATAATTTTTCAGAACATTTTTACAACTAATATTTTTTTTTGCTTTAATCTAAATAATATACTTATACATTTTGATTAAATGATAAAAGGTAAATTATACGTTCCTTTTGAAACTATCAAATAATAAACTAAAATATTTACTAACACAATAAATTATTATAATATATATATACTCTATATTTTTCTTTTACATATAGGAAAAATTATCAAGTTCAGATCATAAAATATTTGCAATTACCAGAAAAATACTCAATTATCGAGCAATTATTCCAATAATTCTCAATAAATAATATGTCGAGGCAAACCAAAAACACATATATTAAACTCAATTATATAAATTTTTTTTTTTTTACATATCAAGGAAATTATTGAAACTTTAAATTATAAAATTTTTTATATTACAGAGCTAATACTCTAATTACTAGTTAGTAGATAATATATTGAGGCACACCATAGCCATATGAGCATGACCAATTCACAGGTTGAACCTTTGCCTCTTCTTTCTTCTCATCTGCTTTGTCTCCCACAGGGCTCACACTTACTAATTCTGCATATGTCTTATTATTTGATAAAAAACAAGTTAAACAATCTTTTTTTCCTAATTTATTTCTTAGCAAGCTTGTTAGCTTAACTGCATCCACTCCTTCTCCTATCACCTCTATTTGGTTCTTGTCATCTTTTCCTAAAGCTGCTGATTCGACACCTGCACAATTAATTTTACGAATTTGTTATTGTTTACATAATGAAATTTCATAAATCATATCATCAATAAAAAAATGATTTAATATGAATTTAGAGATTATAATCAGAGCTGTAAACAAACCGAGCTAACCTGAATTAAACTTTATTTAACATAAGTGCAACTCCTTAAATTTATGCTCAAACTTAAACTCGAGCTCAAGCTCGACTCATTTATATCTTATAGTAAAAATGAAAAAAAAAATTATTGTTCATTCATAAGATCAAATTTAAATTTGAATTTGGCTCGTTTGTTAAACGAGAACGATAAATATTTTCAAATTTAGCTCATTAAACTTATTGAATGAACTTATTTAATAAGTGCTGTGAGGCGAATTTAAACATATATTTTTTAACTTTGCCTCGAGCAACCCACGAACGATTGGGCTGAAACTCTGATTAATATGCAAAGAGGGCTTTTCTATATATAAAATCTTGCATTGGAATATAAATTTCTGACCTGAAACTCCAACAACAATCTTCAAGGCCTTGGAACGAGACTTGTGGCCATTCATGGAGACCTTAATCACTATCTTTTGCTGCATCATATTGATAAATTTCATAAATTCATTTGTTATATGTATAAATCAATATTTCTAATTAACAAAAAAAAAATTACCTTCATTGTTGTTGCTTCTTGGAGATCACAAACAAAGAATTCTCAGCTCTTGTTGATGGAGGTGACAAAATACCTCTCCAAAGACAATCTTTCTTTCTTTTCTACTTTGAACTTGTTGGCTTAAATGAAAGAAATTCTGCTATATATATATATATATATATAAAGAGGACATTTCTTACTTTTTTCCTCTCTATTTCATGAACATGATCGTTCTTTTGCTAATTAATAATGAGGGTTGGTTAGACTTGGAGGTATTTGTAAAATTTTTGACCTTATGATCCAAAAATAATTTAAAAAAAGACCATTTACTTGTTCTCTGTTGACATCAGTTGAAGGTCTGATTTGTACGTCATGATATATATATATATATATATATAGTGGCTATTTTAAAAATTACAGTTAAAGTAAAAGCTAAATTAAAAGTAAAACCCAAGCTGAAACTTCATTCATTTTTTTAACATGATCAACAAAATGTATTGGAACTCTGTTTGAAATATTACATTTCATGCTTATTTTAGAATGAACCAAACATGTTTAAGTTTTATAAACAGTTCAATTGACTGAAAATCAAAATCAACCAATTCAATTTCGATAACTAAATTTTATTATTTTTTTAATAATTCAGTTAGTTCAGTTTTCAATTTTTGAAGAAACTAAAATTTAATTTTTGAAGAAACTAAAAATATACTCCCTCGTCCCATTTCGTTTGCATGTTTTGACAAAACACGCATATTAAAAAACTAATTAAGATATTAATAAAAATCATTCATTTAATGAACAATCATAAAGATTATCATGAAAAAAATAATTTACATTTTTAAATTTAGAAACATTAGAAACATACGGTGGTACGGAGGAAGTATATTTTTTTAATTGATTAGAGGCTGACTCTCCCATTGACTCACCGAATTGGAGAAAACAATCTACATAAGTGAGAAGACCAACCAAACTACCATTTGATTGGCAAATTAAAAGTATTTATATATTATGAATTTAAAATAAAAATACCTATATATATATATGTGTGTGTGTGTGTGTCTTTTATAAATAATTTTACTAAATTAATTTGTTCATTATTGTTAAATTTTAAGGATAACAGCATCTTGATCACTTATGTTATTAATAATAGTGTAATTAACAATTAAAAAATTTTAGTTATTAATTATATAATGAGGTATGAACTCAAGTATGGGAAGAAATTTCCTATGCACAAACCATGAACATAAATGGAAACTACTAAACCTTGAAAGTTGAAAGTTGAAAATTTGGCAAACTGGCCATTAATTTGTCATTTTTATGTGAAGCTACTAGTTTAATTTGTTTTTTCCTTTTGGCCCCTTCTGAATTTTTTTATTTATATTTTTAATCCATTTACTTGCTTTATAGTTAAGTCAACTAAGTCATATTTACTTATTATATTTTTTTTATGAGAAATTTCAAGACATTTTACACCTGATAAGTACAAGAGGATTAATTATAAGATTATATTCAACCCATTTTGTGATTTTGAGTTTTAAACCTTAAATAATTTGGCTATATATTTTAATTATTATCTATATTAGACCAAGGACCAGCCAAAATCTGGTTTTTGAAATTGAAACTATCAATTTAGAGCCTGTTGGACTTGAAAGGGAACTGTGCGAAATTGAAACTGCTTAGAAATGAAATCGGAACTGGAGGATTGTGGTTCAATTTCAGTTCTAAATTTTTTTAGAATTGTAAATCGACAGTTTCAAAAATCAGTGATTTTGACAATTGGTTAGAGCCTCTATTCCAACCGGTTCCGGTCAATTTTTTTTTTATTTTTTAAAAATTTTTTTATCAAATCCCCTAATTAACCATCTTAACAACTCTAAACAACTATATAATAGCTAATTTTAGTATTTGTGGAAGTTGAATTTTTAGATTTACTATAAATACCTCATTATTTTCATTTTCTTCATACCAAATTATTTTTCTTCACTCTCCAATCTCTGTAAGCTATCTAATTTATAATTATTATCCAAATTATTGTCAAATAATTTCTCCAATCTCTAATTAAGTTCAAGTCCTTTTTTTTTTTTAAATTTCTCTTAAAGTTTTTTTTGAATTATTTTATAAATATTTAAATTTTAAATTTGAAAAAAAAATATTTCCCAATTTTTTGATTTTAAAGTTATGTGAACTGCTTGGAAAACCGATCAAGAACCTTTAGAAACCATCGGTTTTAGAAACCATTGGTTTTAGAACCGTTAAAGAACTGAAACCAGAACCATAACCTATCAATTCCAAACCATAACTAAAACCCCCAATTCTCGGTTCGATTTCAATTTTACAATTTTTGGAATTAGAACTAGAGGTTCTAGAACCGTAGCTACCCCTAGTTAAACTAACTCATATAATTTAATTAATTAAAGTGTTATGGACTTAATTATTAGATTATTATTATTTAATCCTAAATATTTTTTAATTATATTAGAAACATAACTATTTTACCCCTATATTTTGTCGAAATTAACTAATCTTCTTATTTATTAATTATTTTATCTTTATATTTTGTAAAGATTAACTAATATGTTGTTATATTTAATAGAAAAAGTAGAAAAATTTTATAGAAGGGTATATCGAAAGTAAAGATGAAAATAAAATTATGTATATCTAAAAATATAAGGATAAAATTGTATATTTTAACAAAATGTAAGGATAAAAATAATAAATTTTCCTTATAAATATAATCTGTGCGAGAACTGTAATGGCTTCAAGGAATTGTTGCGGTTGAGTAACGTTACTCCTTTCGTATTACTCAGTTCGTCGATATTTTCAGGGTCAAATAATAATAATTCATTTATTGGGTCAAATGGGCCTAGACGCAGTGGCTAAGCCCAGTTCTAATAAGCATCTCTGCGCTTTAGCTAGTTAATGGGGCCTTTATCATTCTCACCAAATACAATATTCTAATTTATAATTGATTTTCCGATGAGAGAGTTATTTTCTCTTTATTTATTTTAATTAATACAATATTCTAAATTTTAAAAGTAACTTAAAACTTATCTCATCATAAGATACAACACAATTCCATGACAACAGATATTATAGACCGAAAATTTTACTCAATTTTTTACACTTTAAATTATATATATAAATTAAATTATATTTATTTGTAACGAGTAAAAATCATTGAGTACAAACAATATGCAACACATCTTGGAAAAAATTATTATTACGAAAATAATGTAATCACTCGTCATTTGTTGATATTTAGTTAAAAATAATTAACTTTGATAAGAATGTGTTTATAAATTTACCTAACAAAAAGAATTTGATCTTATAAATTAATATTTGAACCCATTGAACAATTTCTAAACCAACAATAAAGAAAATTAAACAATAACCAAAATAAAGATTTTCTAAAATTCTTCAAACCCACACCACAACCATGTTAAAAGTAAATTTGAAGCAACTGTGTTTTAAAATTATATTACATTTGAAGAAAATACTTACCTAGATCGAATCTATAGCTCCACTTAGTAGCATATAAAATATTGAGGCACACTACAACCATATGAGTATGACCAATTCACAGGTCGAACCTTTGACTCTTTCTCCTCATCTTCCTCATCTGCCTTGCCTCCTATCGGTTTCACAATTAATATTTCTGCATGCGTCTTCTGATTTGCTAGAAAACAAGTTAAACAAGACTTGTTTCCTAATTTGTTTCTTAGCAAGCTTGTTAGCTTCACTGCATCAACTGCCTCTCCAATCACCTCTATTTGGTTCTTATCCTTCTTTCCTAAAGCTGCTGATTGGACCCCTGCACATTTATAGTTTATAGTTTTAAAAAAATGTTTGAATTGCTTACATATTCGAACTTAACTTAAACTCGAAATTCACTTATTTATTAAATGAGCTCAATAAATAGACTCGAGTTCGACTCGTTAAAATTATCAAACAAACTCTTTTAGTAAGCTTCATTACTTGAAGTCAGATGAGTTTCTCTTTCAAGTTTAGTTTCGAGTTGTTCACAAGCAACTTGACTCATTTACAATCCTACGTGTAAAGTTAAGCTGAAATTTTAATTAAAAATCCTACTTGAAGATGGGAATTCCCACGAATTCGTATAAGGGGAGTTTTTCCATATAAAATCTTGTATTGATGTGTATATATTTAATTAAAAATCCTACTTGAAGATGGGAATTCCAACGAATTCGTAATAAGGGGAGTTTTCCATATAAAATCTGTATTGATTGTGTATATATATATATATATATATATATATATATATATAATATATATATATATTTCCTACCTGGAACTCCAACAACAATCTTCAAGGCCTTGGAACGAGACTTCTCGTCATTCATGGAGACCTTAATCACTATCTTTTGCTGCACCATATTCATAAATTTCATAAATTAATTTTTTTATAGATAGAAATAAATATTTCTAAATAACAAAAAGAAAATTACGTACCTTCATTGCTTTTGCTTCTTGGAGATCACAAACAAACCTCTCAGCTTTATGATAGCTCTTGTTGATGGCGGTGACAAAATAATACCTCTTTAAAGACAATCTTTCTTTCTTTTCTTCTTAGAAGTTGTTGGCTGAATGACAGAAATTCTGCTATATATAGAAAGGGACATTTCTTACTCGTTTCCTCTCTATTTCTTAAACTTTTTTTTTTTTTTTTTTTTTTCCGGGGAATATTTTTTTGCTAGTTAATGTCACATAAAATAATAAGGTTTGAATTCACAATTTCGTGGTTATTTCTATGTCATTAATTCAAAACATACTGACGTGTTTAGTTTAAAAACTCAGTTGAGGTGCATGTTGTAGTTAGATTAATTGAGATAAGGCAAGTATAACTGGACTTGAACTTGACCTTTCACCATAATAATTTTTTAAAGCAAGAATATTTATTTTTTTAAATAAATTTTTAAATAATAAATAAATAAATAAATTATATATATATATATATTATATTTAATTTAAGCATTTCAAATTTTACAGTTTTATTCTTTTTTAAATTTATTTTTAAATTAAATATATATGATAATGAGAAATATTTAAAAATTTTTATTTTTTAAATCTATAATTTTTATTTTTTAAATCTATTTTTTAAATTTTGATCATTTTTATTATAATTTAAAATATTTTATTTAGGAGAGAGATAAAAAAAGAAAATAGTATATTTTTGTATAATATTCTGTTTTTCTTTATCTTTGTATAATTTGATTGGATATATATTTTTAAAAATAAATATTCACATAAAAAATACATAATTAAGCCTTTTAAAAATTTTTAAACCTTTACTTTTTAAAATTTTTCTTTAAGTAAAGTTAATATATGTTTGTGGGATCATGAAGAATTGAAAATTTTAATTTAAAAATATATATAAAATTTTATTGTTATATACATATATCTATAAATATTGAAATTTATTTATATCATAGAATTGTACATATACAATTATAATGAATTTTAAATAAATGACGATATAAATTGAATTGAAGTATATGTATATACACACTACTGTTTTATCAATTAACCAGTATATTCACATTAATCTCATATAAAATTTATTTTAATATTATAAAAATCTAAATAACACAAGTAAAAAATTATAACCAATATTTAATATTACAAAATAAAAATGAGTATAAACAACAAAGGTGAGCAATGATATAAAAAAATTGAACGAGTATAGTCAACATGTAACATACGTCATAAAAAGATTAGTAATAATAATAATATTCCACACCCTTTCTATAACAGATTTATAAAAGGAAAGAAATTAAAATGATTAAGAAAGAAGTAGAAGACTTAAGTAAGAGTAATTTAATAAGGCAAGAACATATTCAACCACAGGTCAATAAGATTATAGAAAAACATCACAAAATGGGGAAACAAGCAATTCAGCAAAGAAAATACTCCTCAATGAATTTATTAATGTTACATATAGAATTACTTATAAAAAATGCATTATTTTAATTAATTTAATAGTTAATAACTACTACTTTAATTGACTTATGTGTACATCAAAACTATATATATTATAAAGAAACGAATCTTATATATATAATAAAAGAAGAATCATGTTAATTATTTAAGACGAAGTTAATACCATAAGAATTGAAAGTCAACTATAATAAAGTTATATATAATAGAAAATTAAGAAAAAAATCAAAATTAGAAATTTCATTAAAAGGAAGCTGTGTCAAGAAGATTAGAAAGAAGATTAGAAATTTTAAAGAAATTTTAAATATAGAAATATGTTCAAAGCTAACTGGTGATCGTCTAGTTGGTTTTTAAACTATATAAAGAGTGAAAACTTTCGAGTTCAAGTTTTCTCGACCACAGTTACCGAATTTAGTGAGTTAAGGGAGGATTATTATACGAATAAATAAAAAATATTGTAAAAAAATTAAATGAATTATAAAACAAATGGTTAAAATTGAAGGAGATAGAAAAGTGTTTTTGTATCTATCTCCAGTAAAGAGATACAACATATATATATACATAGTTAGTCCCTAAAACTCAGGGATTACATAGATACAAACTCATTCAAACTTAATAAACTCTAGCCAAGAATATCTCAATCTGTTATTATCTCATAACTCTAGCCAAGGAATATCTCGAATATCTCAATCTGTTATTATCTCTAATACCCCCGCTCAAGCTATGAACTTCGTGTAAGAATTCGGAGCTTGTTCTTGTGCTGAGCAAACCTGTGAGAACTCAAAGGTTTGGTAAAAATATCTGCAATTTGATCCATCGTGGATATATGTTGTACACTAATGTGGCCAGCTTTAACCTGCTCTCGTACAAAATGGAAGTCGACTTCGATATGTTTTGTTCTTGCTTTGAAGCACGGATTCACCGCCAAATAGGAAGCTCCAATATTATCACACCAAATGATTGTAGGATTCTGAACTGTGTGCTTTAATTCTTTCAGCTATGATCTAATCCGTATTATCTCTGCAGTGGTGTTAGCCACAGCACGGTATTCGGCCTCCGTCGATGATCGAGCAACAGTTGGTTACTTCTTGGCCGACCATGAGATCAGATTGGAACCCAAATAAATTGCAAAACCACCTGTTGAACGACGATCTAAAGCATTCCCCGCCCAATCATCCCGGCCCAATTTCAGCATTCGGGGAAAAATGCTTTGTAATTGAGAATTGACGCAGACCCAATAAAGAGAGCCATGTGCTATGCGTGCGTTTAAGCATAGCGTAGAACCACGTTTGCAGGCTGTTCCAATGAGCTTGTTGTTTTGGAGGTGGACATACTGAACTAATCTGTTCCACCGCAAATGCTAAATCTGGACAAGTTAAACAAGCATATTGCAAAGCACCAACAGTTTACGATACAAATTAAGGATCAGCCATCGGTTCACCTATTATTGGTCAATTGACATATTTAGTAGCCATAAAGGTGTGGGGTAACTTCTGTAGCTTGATCATATGAGTGGCAGCAAGTAAATTCAACTCAAATACTTTTGTTGAGAAAGTAAAAAATACCTTTGGAGTGATAGAAGACCTCAACACCAGAAAATATCAAACTTCCCCCAAGATCACGGAAGCTTGAATTCAGTTGAAAGTTGCTGAACAGCACTTTTGAATTGCCTCACTAAATACTTCCAGTAAATAACAATATATCAACATAAAGCAAGATGTAAATAACATCACAGCCAATTTCTTTAATGAACAGAGAGGAATTTGGGTATGAGAGCCTGCAAAACCAATTTTAAATCAAATAGAAATTTAGCCGGCTGAAACCATGGCGCACGAGGAGCCTGCTTTAAGCCCATAAAATTGATTTTCGCAAAATCGGCATACGTAATCCCGGGCCATCTAAAACTACAAACCTGGTGGTGTTGCCATTTGAGACAGTCTCCTCGTAATACCCATTTAAGAAAGGCATTAGAAATATCCAACTGCCGAATGAACGCACTTCTTTGTAAGCTGCCAATGATAATACAAATTCGGATCGTAGTTGGTTTGATAATAGGACTGAACCGTCGCTGCGTAATCAACACCTTCAACTTGATTATATCCCTTTGCCACCAAGCCGTGCCTTTACATTGCTCCGATACTGCGTGTCTGGATTATATTTATTTGAAGTATCCATTTACAAACGCAACATATGTTGGTTATTACTGGCTTTGGCAGCAAGATCCACGTTCCATGGTGAATTAAAATGCAGTAATTTTGTTGCTCATTGCTTCACGCCAAACCGATTGTTTCATGGCTTGCGTTAACAAGTGGGTTCAACTGCACGTACAACAGATGTAAACAAGTTCTTCTTCTTGGATTTGTCCGAAGTTGCATAGGAATGTTACGACGCGGGAGCAGTTGGTTTTCTTGGCTGTTGAGTTGAGAAAACCGGCAACTTTTGTTTGTTGAGAAGCTGTTGTCGAAACGGGTAGAATCTGTTGGTCAGGGGCAGGAAGTGGAAGCCGACGTGGGCTGAACGAAGGAGGTTGTGGCTGAAACCAAAATGGTTGATCACATCGTACAGGCTGGGGCAACAGTAGGAACAGAAATTTGTGGAAGACTAGAAGCAGGAACTTGAAAGGTGCAGCAGCTGTCAAAACCAACCAAGGAGTAAAGATCAGATTGTTGTCTGTGGGCTGAAACAAGGATTGAACCTTACTGTAGAAATGGGGCATCTTATATAAAAACTGTGTTTCATCCACACGACATAGACTTAAGATAAATCTTGTTATCTGCAGGATTAAAAATATGTACCAAGATGAATTAGTAGAATAACCCAGAAAAACACAAGCTGTCGTACGATAAGAAAAATTGTGCGATTATATGGCCGAGTAAAGGATACATGGTACACCCAAAATATACCTTGGAAAAAGGGGAAAAAACCCCCTCAATAATCTGGAGGTTTTACCATACAACCTCTGAAATGGAGACAACTTCTGCAAAACAGTTGGTAAGGAAGCCGATTAATCAAGTACGCAGCTGTTGTCATTGCAAAATTCCAAAACCGTTTAGGTACCAAAGAATGAGATAGCAAGATAAACAGTATCACCACATGTCTAATTTTCCGTTCTACAGTGCATTTTGTTGATGCGTATGTGGACAGGTTAATAACATGAATGAATTACATGTTCCCTTTAGATAAGTATTAAACGGGTCTAAATTCACCACCCCAGTCCGATTGAAACTGGAAGCAACTTGGGAATTTAATTATCGTTCAATCCAAGTTTATGAAACTGAGAAAAACTGATTGCACATCATTTTCTGCTTAATCGGATATAACCAAACAAAAACGGAGAAAAGTCCATCACAAAAAGAACAAAATAATAATCCTCCATAGGACAATTCTTCTGGAGCAGGGCCCATCAATCACCATGAACTAGTTCAATGGTTTTGGAGGCAATAGAACCAGTAAGAGGTAAATGAAATTTGACTATGTTTTCCTAAACAGTAAAGCTTCACAAAGACTTGATGTTGGTTTTATTGACGAACCAGACAAATGAAACTTAGAAGTAATAAATGAAACTGTAGCTTGTTTGAGGATGACCAAGCCTTTGAAATGCCAATCTGTTGGTTGTAT